ACAGAATATAAAGAGGATGATTGGGAATGGTATAGTGTTTTCATTTTTATTGGATGGATTCTTGCAAACTTAATTGTTGGCTTAATTGTAGGTGTTATAGTAGGCAGTATAGCAACATGGATTACCAAGGAATCAAGATTTTTATCTGAATAATCCTCTGTCGTTACTGCCTTTACTATATATATATCATACTTCTCATTTTGTGTTTGTGAAGCTATAGGATTTTGTGGAGTATTGGCAGTTCTAATTTGTGGTATTATGTTATCACATTACTAAACTTACAATTTACCCAAAATTTCTGCTACTTCTTCTAAAATTACAATTAAAGCACTTGCTTATATTAGTGAAACAGTAATTTACTTTTATATTGGATATATGGTTACCGAAAATGTCATAGTTAAAAACTCAAATGATTATGATAAAAAAGCATAAGTTTATTCATTTCTATTTCTTCAATACTTTGTGTTTTCTCCTATAGCTAGACTAACATCCATGTTATTAGCTCATTGTTTTGCAATCATGTACTTTCTTTATATATTTTTATATTAGTTTACGGTTGAAAACAAAAGGACCATGGAGAATCAATAAGTATGAATTTTTTATCCTTTTTTATTCTGGATTAATTAAAGGGGTTGTAGCTTATGCATTAATTTGTGAATAGGAAGTAGGAGGGGAAGACTATTACACAATTATCTAGACAACTTCTTTATATATGGTTGTACTTTCAACCTTAATTAATGGAGGAACTTTGAAATACATTTGTGAATGGGCGTATAAATAAATGGAAAAAGATTCTTCTGTTTATTATTCAAGAGCTTAATCTGTTTAATCATAAGCTATTAGATAAACATTTATTTAAGAAGATTTGACTGATTATAAAAAACTCAAACATAAAAGTGAAAAGTTTTTCAAGGGTTTCGATGAGAAATATATCAAACCATTTCTGATATATAATTATATTGAAAGAAAAGCAGATATAATAATAGCCAAGAAATTAGAAAAAAATAAGAATAAATATGAAAAAGAATAAGACTTTAAGATGTATGATGATAGTGTTAGATAATAAAGAGAAGAATTGGAATTGCATAAATAAAAAAGAAACGATTTAACATAAATTGATTTCGATCAATCTGATTCAGATGATGAATAAGATTAACCTAAAAATGGAAAAAAACATACTCCCCCTTAAGGTGAACTTTCTGAACTTAAACTAAGTAAGTAAAGTAATGGAGATTACAAACATGATTGAACAAATCACATTATAAAAGTAATTTATAAGTACTTTATTAATTAATTATATATAAACAATAATTAAATATCAATAAATTGTGAGTTTGCATTCTTCTAATTAAGTAGATTCCCCTTTTTTAATAGAAATTACTTAACAGTATCCTACATCATTTGTTTACTAATTGAAATATTCTAAAATAGATTTTAATGGTCTCTGATGAGTCACTAAAATTATACATTAATCATCCTCTATTTTTTCAAGTAGTTTTTAAACATAACTTATTATTCTGTTATTAACATCCTCTAATTCTTCAGGATATATATTATCTTCTTTCATTTATTAATCTATTAATGTTATTTGAGAGAAATAAGAGAGTGTTCTATTTTTATTAACTACTAATCTAGGTAATGGATTGCTCGAGAAGAAATAAGGATATAAAGTTTCACAAATTTCTGTATTTATTGAAACCTCTTCTTATTTAATTTAGTGTGCTATGTTTTTAGCAGTCATTATGCATCTTAAAAATGGAGATGATTAGATATTAATTAATCTGTATTCTTCAATTTCTTCAAGAATCAATTTTCCTGCTTATTGAGCTTATTCACACCCTTTTGGAGTAAGATGAGGATCATGTTAATTTAATATCTTTTAGCATTCGATTTCGCAATGGTCAGCTCTTTCGCCATGTCTTACTAAAACTATCATTATTAATTTAATTATTGTTTTTAAAAATAACTCAAATTAGATAAATATTGGCTAAAATCTGTTATAAATCTATTATTAATCATAATTAAATATTAATTAACTATAAATATTTTATAATATTTAGTTATAAGTTGAATAAGCAAACTGGCAAAATTAAATTATTTTATAAAATTCTGATGTCAATCTTATACAATTGATCTAAAATTATCTAGATATTAATTATTTATAAAAATAAATTTAGAGTTTAGACTTTTGTATAATATTTTCTAATTTCCTATTATATACTTGTATGTTGAATAATTTATACTTTATACTCTGCAATGATACTAATTTTTTAATCCATTTTGCTTTGAATTATCAAATAGTGATATTGATTTTTTATTAATACATTTACCAAATAATCAAATTAGATTATAAGAGGTCTTTTAATTTTTTATTGTTTAAGTGGCACTTTAAAGTAAACCTTATTGGAATCGAGCAATAATTTTACCTTATTTTTAAGTTACTATAAATATCTATTTATATATTTTTTATAATTATATATATATATATTTAAATACATTAATTGTTAGTTTTAAGAATTCATCTCACCCATTATATTTAATTGAAAATGATTTATGATACCTATATATTCTTTTATATATTTTTAACCGTAATTATTAGATAATAAAGGAGTAATTAAAGTAATCTGAGAGTACTCTAAATAAATCCAATAATTTTGATATCTAAAATTATTAGTATGTTTAGATCTAATTTATTGTATATATTTTGTTTATAAGAATTAGATTTATAAATTGTTTCTATATGATTTTTATTTATCTAAAATAAAATTAATATTGAATAATAATTCATAGTAGTAATTAGTATATTAATATGTAAAATTATTTAAATTATATTTAGATGTCTTTTATGTGTCTTAATTTATCATGTTTGTTGTATGTCTATTATGATATTTAATGATTTTCATCATTTATACTTAATTCCAAATATAAAAATATATCAAATAATTTTCAACAATCATTATATAGTATGACTGAGATAGGGAATTATTTAATAGGTAGTGGAACCATATATATTTTGTTATAGGAAAGACTATTGGACAAGGCACTTTTAGCAAAGTTTGTTAAGCAATCAATCAAGTGATAGGTCATGAAGCAGCAGTAAAGGTTCTTGAAAAGAAATGCATCGATTAAGAAGGAGATGTAGAGCGAGTGAAAAGAGAGATTCAAATATTGAAACTCCTTCATCATCCTTAGATAGTGAAACTTTACGAGGTTAAAATTTAGCATAGAGTAATCCATAGGTAATTGAGACAGAAAACCATATCTATTTATTCATGGAGTATGCAAATGGTGGAGAACTGTTTGATTATATTGACAGAGTTAAATAGTAAGATAATTCATTTTAAATGAGTAGAATAACAGAATATGAAGCATGTAAATTCTTTCATTAGATCATTTCTGGATTAGAATACATGCATAGTCAAAAGATTATTCATAGAGATTTAAAACCAGAGAACTTATTGTTAACAAGTGATAGAGATATCCTTATTGCTGATTTTGGTTTAAGCAACCTTTAAAAAGATATACTTAAAACTTGTTGTGGAAGTCCTTGTTATGCAGCCCCAGAAATGATAAAAGGAGAACCTTATGATGGATAATTGACAGATATATGGAGTTGTGGAATTATATTATTTGCCATGATATGTGGTTATTTACCATTTGATGATCTAAATACATAAAATCTATATTAGAAGATCATTAATGCAGAGTTTACATTTCCAAAACATATTTCAATAGATGCCAAAGATCTATTAAAGAGAATTTTAGTGGTTGATCCATAAAAAAGATATTCAATTTAGTAAATAAAAAGACATAAATGGTGGCAATTATGGAAAAGAGATGTCTAATATTTCGATATCATTAGAATCCGTCTATGTCAGTATTTAAGGCCAGATGTATTACAATTCCTTGTTAATTTCTACCAAATAGTCCTTATAATGAAGAAATACCAAACTTACCTAAATATTCTCCAAGGAATGCTAAATCACCATATGTAAGATCTCCAATTACAAAGTCTCCAAATACTAGATCTACTACATCTAAATTATCAAATTGTACATATAAATAGGTTTATGATAACATTAAAATGAGATAAACACCATCTAAATCATTATATGAATCTACAAACATTAATAATATTAAAAGTAATCATAATACAAATATTAATACTAATACTAATAAATAGAATATTTTTATTAAATAATCAAATCAATATGCTTTTTATAATAAACATAAGAAACAACCTTCTGGATAATATTCAACTTTAATGAAAAATACTTAGTTCTAAAAAGTTGTTTAGAGTATACATGAGAATAAAAATTAAAAAATACTGTCTAATACAACTCCTTTTAAAAATTCTACTAAACATTGTTATTCCCATATTAGAAAGATTAGTGATTTAGAAAAATCTAAATTATAAAATTCTTTAAAAATAGATGAATCATAATCTACTTAAAATATTCTTTAAAGATTTACTTCTGGTTTAAATAGTTTGGTAAATTCTCCAAGATAACCAATTAATATTAGAGGAATAGAATAACATACTGGTCCATATCATTTATCTTTAATAACCAAAAAACATCCTTAATTATTTATAGATATGATTCATAATTATTTGAAAATACATTTTCCAATAATTATTTATGAGAATTATTCAATCACATTAAAATTAAATAATGAACAATTACTTGAACTTAAATTAAAAAGAATAGAATAAATAGATGTATATTATTTAGATATTATTTAATAAAATTATAACTTTTCAGAGATCTAATAATTTATAAAGGATTTATAATTCCATATTAAATTTTGAAAATTACAACTACAAAAAAAAATTATAATGACATCATTTAAATTATATTATATATATATACTATTGATTAATAATAATTAATGAATTACAGTTATCTTATATTTAAAAAATAAAACAATATTTAGATAAATACATCTTTTATTTATTTAAAACAAATAAATTTTCTTGAAATTTATATAATTTAAACATTATGTTTAAAATTACATAGACTCAAATTTTGGAATGGGTTAAAGATGGTAACACTGAAACATTACGTATATTTTTTGAATCAAGTCTTCAATAAAATTAGGATGGATTGAATTCATTTTTCAAAATGATTGACAAAGAAAAACGAAATGTAGTACATTGGGCTGCATATTTGGGTTAATTTGGTTTGCTAGAAAAATGGCTTACATCTTATTCATAATTTATTGACTTAAATCAAGTTGATCTTCATCATTACACAGCAGTCGAACTAGCTAGTATAAAAGGGTAAGTAATATTATATCTAATTAAAGTTTTATGAAGGAATATAATTCTTAAGTTTAGTTTGCATTAATTAAGTTGCTTTTAGATCATCATGCAAAAATGCCCACAGATAACAAATATAAAAGAGCCAATCCATTACATTGGGCATATTATTATGGCAACTCAGATCTAATTGATTTTCTTTTGTCTAATTATACAGATCTATAATATCAGTTAGACTAATTTGATATGTATCCTATAGATTACTTGTTTTTAGAAAATAGACCAGAAGAATATCAGTAATTGCAATTCAAAATTATTATAGGAAAAAATATAAAGCCATTTTTGCTAAGACTGTCTAAGAATATGCGTTTAAAAAAGATGGTCATCAATTCAAATTTCTTAGGAATCTCAATACTCAAAGAACTATTGCAATAATATCTATATCTTAGAAATCAAATAATTTGGATAATCCAATTATGATTAATGATCAAAATTAACCCAAATTAAAAGAGCCAGCAAATGAATTAGATAGTATAGATTAAGAAAAAATTAATTAACATCTTCAATGTGGATAAACAACTATGACATTAATGTCAAAAATATAATAAACTGGTATTAATAATTAGAAGAGAGATTCAATTAGTTCTAGAATTAGTTAATAGTTTAAATTAATTTAAGAGAGAATGAAGAAATTACCTAATAAGAATGTGTAAAATGAACTCCCTTTTGAAGATTCTTAATAAGATTTTCATGAGCCAGATGCAGAAAAGATTCCATCTTTGAAAATTATTTAACCAACTAATACTATATTTTCAGAGCCTCATTTTAACATTAAAGAAAAGATTGAAAATCAAATTGTTTTTTAAAATGATTTAGAAAGTGATAGAAATTAATAAAAAGTCTTTTTATAATAAGATGATGAATTTGGTAGATTATTTAAATGTATAAACATACCATCAAGATCTGAATAATCAAAATATATGGCTTCACAATATTAATAATCATAAGCACCTTCTTAATTTGGTAGATAACTATCATAAGAAATTTAATTATCTTAAGAAGATTTTAGACCTTCAATAAAAGACTTTTCAAGATTAAAATCAATGAGACCTTCATTAAAAAAACCTGGATAAAAGTTGATTACAAGAAAAAGTACAACTTTTAATGAAACTTATACTATATATCATTATGCAAAAAGTTAAACAAAGAATTAATTATTTGAATGTAGATTATAATTTTGGTCAGCAAGAATTGAATCAACAGAATTTTTTGTTTATTTTTTAAAGTAAAAATGCAATCCATTTTTAATTTAATATTAAGGATTCAATTGTCTACATATTGCAGCTAATAAAGGAAAATATCAAATTCTGAAACATATTTTAGAAAGTGAATATGAGTATTAAGAATTAAAAGATCTATTAAAATTACATAGGTCAATAACTTAAGGATAATTTAGTAAGACATATGTTAAGAAAGATATTTTTAATAAAGTATTAATATAATAATTATTATTAGGTTGAAGCTTTTAATATAATGACAGATTAGAATCCTTCTAATGCATTGCATTTAGCAATAGAAATTAATAATTTTGAATGCATGAAAATATTAGTAGAACATGGTGTTTCAATGGATGTTTTAAATCATAGATGTTTAATGCCTATAGAATTAACATTTGATGAAAAAATGGTAAAATACTATGAACTTCACTATCTTAAAGGAAAAGAACAGAGTTTTAATTTTATGGGATATATGTATGTTATTTAAACATCTGGAAGTTAAGATCTATGCTAAGATATTGTTTTATTATAATTATAAAATATCAAACAATCATTCTAATAACGAAATATGGAATTTGAATTTCTTATTATAAATACTCCTAATTATAATTATATAAAAAATGGAAGAGAACATTGTGTGAAACATCATTATTATGTAATTAAATTATCAGCAGATACAATATATAAATTAGCAGATATCTATTAGATTGAATGTTATCATTTTACAAAAAAGGTAATATTTAATTGAATTAATATAGCATTTGACTAAATTTAAATATAGAGATTATGGTCATTTTGAATTTCCTAAGCCATTATAAATATAATAACTTATAATTAATGTTTTAAATGAAGAATTTGATTTAGATAAGTTTGTTTTAGAAGGATTAGTAATATCACATTTTCCTTTAGAAGATAGTTCTAAATCATAAAAAGTAAATGTTTTATGGAAAGAACTTCAATATAATTGTATAAGAGATACTATTAGAATATAGACTCATTAGATTGCCTTAAGACCATTAAATTCAATAGCATCATATTATGGACCTGTAATTGCATGGTACATAGCTTTTAATGTTTAAATAGTAGGTTGGCTAATATTACCAGCTTTGGTAGGATCAGCTATTTAATTATATTAATTAATTGCTGACAAAATACAGTAAAATATATATATCTCAATATTAAAGTGCTTCAATTTTACCATCATATGCTTTGTTTATGTCACTTTGGGCTACATTATTTATGGAGAAATGGAAAAACAGAGAATCTGAACTCAAATATATTTGGGATATGCATAAATTTAAACAACAAGAACCTTAAAGAGTAATGTATACAGGACTTTATACAGTTGAACCATGTAAAAATAAAGTTGAAGTTTATGATTCTTTTACTACTTTTAAGAGAAGATTGATTGCTGAATTTTCAGTAATAATGTTAGGATTTTCAATTATATTAGTGAATTTTCTTGCATTTAATTAATGGTAAGGTTAATAAGATCCTTAAAGTGTGTATATGCCTATAATTATAAATTCATTAAATGGAGTTAGTATGACTGTTTTATGTGATTTATATAAAAGACTTTGTAAATTTGTAGTAAATTGGGAGAACCATAGATTTAATTCTGAAATGTAGCATTCTTATGTATTAAAAGTGTTTTTATTTGAATTTTTAATATCTTACATATCAGTTGTTTATGCTGTTTTATTTAAAACAGATTAAACATAATTAACATTATCTGTGGCAAGTATCATTATAACAAGAGGTTTGATTTCTAATTTATAAAGTAATTGTCTACCATATTTATTATATAAATATTTAAAATGGGGATTAAAAGATAAATTTTAAACATTTAAAGCTTTTAAGGAATAATTTAAGATTTGTGATATGTAATATGTGAATGAGAAATTGAAATAAGCTTAATAGATTGAATTTATGAAATTGATGGAAGATAGTAATAATAAATAGCCATAAAAAGAATTATATGAGGAATATACTAATATTGCTATTCAATTTGGATATACAACTATGTTTTCACCTGCATTTGCTACTGCCCCATTATTTTTCTTATTGAATCAATTTATCAATTTGCAATTCTCAATTTCAAATTATTAAAGTGTACTAAGGAGAGAAGTAAGATTTTTAAATACTAAAGAGAGCGTAAGCTGCTGACTCAATTGGCATTTGGTTATCCATATTTGAATTAATGAATTATTGTTCCACATTTATGAATTGTCTTGTTATAGGTATAGTGAATAAGGCAGAATTTGAAGGATTAATAGGAGATAGTAATCCTTTGATCTAAGTATTAGTATTGGCAGCTATAGAACATATATTATTATTAATAAAATATTTATTAGGAATAATGATTCCAGATTGTCCTTATTGGGTTTCAAAGGAGTTAAGAAAGTATGCATATTTTGAAGGATAAAGTGCTAAAATTCATGATGATAGCGAGATTATTTTTTGATTTTAATTGATTTATTTTGTATATAATGAAAAGGAGAAGTGCAGCAATTTCTAGTTTATCAGGATCTCCAAAACGTTAATTATCATAAATGAGTATACATGGTATCACTTATATTTATTTAAGATTTTCCAAATTTGGAATTGTTATCTTAAAATTATGAAGATGATTAACTTGGAATTATGTTATCTGAAAGTGTTATTGTTAGTAGATTTATATGTCGATAAATTATCTAAAAAGCAAGTGATATAATTTAAGAGAATTATGTATTGAATTAATTAATTCCTTTTGGATGTTAATGGACAGAATAATTTGTTAATTTGATAATTACAGATATAACAGAGGATATGAATTAAATTGAATCAAATTAAGATGAAGTTGAACCTAAACCATGTCCAATAGAACATTGGAGAAGAATGATTGGATAAATGTTGAGTCCCAAAAGAACTTAAATTGAAAATAGATCTTTCAGAAGAGAATCTAAATTATAAGGTACTGAAATTACTAAAGTTGACAATCAAAGATTTGATACTCAACCAGTTAAAATGGGAGATTTAGATGATGATTTAGATTTTGATACAGAGATAGAATCTATGCGTCAAGCTAAAGCTAGATAGATATTTAATTTGCAATAAAAACAGATGCAAGATCTAATTAAAAAGCAAGAGTACCATGAAATGAATAGACAACTTAAAAGATTAAATGTTGATTCTAAATGTATTAATCAACTTACGTAGCCAAATACACTTACGATTTTGAGGGTAGAGTCTTAGTTTAGAAGCCACCAGATGTTGAACGCTATCCAAGAACTTATTAAGATATCCAAGAAAAAAGAGTCCTATTAGAAGTTAAAGACCTTTTCCCTCATCATAAAAAATAATTAGAATCAATTAATAATCACAAAAAGAAAACTATTGAATAATGTAATCCTTCAACATTATCTAATCGTTTTAGTACATCATAAATTGATATAATATAATTAAAACAAGGAGTTGCTTTTATAGAAGGCAAAAATGAAAAAAGAAATGATCGTCAACATTCTTTAGTTGATATCAAAGATCCTAAAGAATTGTAAAAAACTTTATCTTAAATCCATCTAAAAATGAGTAAAGAAGAATATTCAATCATTACAAATCAACCCTTATAATCTAGTTTCACCTCTAAATAATTGAATCTAACACAAAATAAAGGACAATTATCATAGTAATTCTAATAACCTAATCCTCAAAATGTTCCTCTATCCATTAATGGAGATCAAAGTATTTAATCTCTTAATTCATCTATATTATAAAAACTTAATGGAACCATTTCAATCATCTCAGATCACTATGATGAATTATTAATACATGATCCCTCTTCATTAATTACACCTACTACTACCAAATTGCCATAAATTTAATAAACATTCTAATAATAATAGACTATTCCATAAATACCATAACATTTGCTAACTGAACCAACTTCTAATCCATTATCCAATTCTGTTACTAAACTACCTAAAACCATGTATGTCCCAGGTACATTTTCCAAGATCATTCCAAAATACCCTAGAGAAAGAATCTCACGAATTGTTAAACAAATCAAATAATGATATTTCAATTTATTCAATAAATCAAGAACTTTATATAGAATTTATTTCATTTTCTAATTTAAATATTATCATATTATATTAATCATTCTAAAATTAATGATTTAAATTCATAATTTCATTCTTCCCTTTTTTATAACTTTAGATAATTTTCAATATTTTGTAAAATGAGTAATACTTATTAAAACTATAAATCTCTTTGTATACTAATTCAAAATTTTACTTTTTTGTAATTTTTATTTTATTCAATTAATATTTTCAAACAAATCATACTATTTATAAATCAGTAACTTTTATTTAATCATCAATAAAAGTATTTTATAAATGCGAGTTATATTCAAACTAAAATAATTTATTAATAAATAATACTTTATCTGATTAAATAAAATAAAATGAAATCATAAATTTTTTATAAATAAAAAATAATAAGATAATATTAAGAAAATACATTTTATATTTCAAGTTCAATTACTAATCTTGAAAAATAATAAATTTAGAATTTTTTCTTTCTTTAAATAATTTAAATTAAAATTAATTAAAATTATCAATAAAAGCAATTAACAACATTTTAATAGGATATTATTTTAGATGATATCATATATTTTAAAATCATATTAAATTGAGAATTATGATTAGATTAAAAGTAGACAGTTTTTTTGTGAAATTGATTGATAAATTATTTAAATTTATTCTTTATATTTTATTTATTTCGTTTTTAAATTAGAAAAACTAACTTAAATTAAAAAAGTCATGAAAAATACTCAAGATAAAGATATTGGTCTTAATGTAGTGTATTTAATACAATAACATAAGTAATTATTTAAAAATAAAGGTGTAGTTTATCAGCAGACAGAAAGAAAGTGACTCTTGATTAATTCCATCTTCTAAGTGTCATAGGAAAAGGGTCAATAGGAAAGGTTGTATTAGTAAGAAAGAAAGACAATTAAAAAACTTATGCTCTTAAAGTTATCAAAAAAACCTAATTGATTGAAAATCATTAGGTGAAGTAAATCTATGCTGAAAGAAATATTCTGGTATAAATAATAGAATTAATTATTTTAGTAAAACTGCCATCATCCATTCATTATAAAATTAGAATACGCATTCTAAAATGAATCTAAATTATACTTCTGCTTACAATATTGTCCAGGAGGGGAACTATACAATTTATTAGTTTAAAAAAGCAAATTAACTGAAGAACAGTATATATGATATTGATAACTATAGAGCTAAGTTCTATGCATCCTAAATAGTCCTGGCCTTTCAATACTTGCATGAATAAGATATAATTTATAGAGAGTATAATTATATATTTAAATTAGTTTAAAGCCAGAGAATGTGTTGATTGATTCAGAAGGTTATATTAAGTTAACTGACTTTGGATTCTCAAAATAAGGAATTTAAGGCAATTTTGGAGCACATTCAAAATGTGGAACAGCTGAATATTTGGCACCAGAATTATTAGCAGGTAATCATGGTAAAGCAGCAGATTGGTGGACATTTGGAACTCTAATATATGAAATGGTTATTGGTTAACCAGCATTTTTTGCAGAAACCAAAGAAGAATTATTTAATTAAATTCTTCATTAAGAAATAAATTACAAAAAAATAGGTGTTTCATCTCAATTAAAAGATTTATTATCAAAATTATTATAAAAAGATCCAAATTCTAGAATTAGTTCAGCCAATGAAGTAAATAATTATTTATAATTTAAAATTAGATTAAAAAGCATCCTTGGTTTAAAAATGTTGATTGGGACATGGTTTTATAAAAATAAATACCTCCTGTATTTTTACCTCAATTAAACAGTGATGATGATGTTTAATATTTTGATGATGTATTAAAATTCCCCTTAAAATTTAGTGTTTCCTCAAAGAACCTATTTATTCTTAAACAAATTCATTATCTACAGAAGAATAAATGAATAGTCCATATTAAGGATTTTCGTACTCTGCATCCCCAAAGCAAAAAGAAGAATAATGGGAATTTTGATTCTTTACTTTAATTAATTAAATTATATTTTTTATAAAGAAGAAATATATATATAGATATATACCATTCATTTTTTCTTTTTTGATGAATTTTTTGTTACACTCTAAACCAAATCATAAAGTAATTTATATTTTTGTTCAATCTACTCAAGACTATTTTTTCTTTTTCCAAGTTCCATATATCCACATTAAGAATTTGGAGTTATTGTTGTTTCTGTAGCTTAATGAGTTGGAGTATTACTTTTCATATATTTTGGAACATCTTATTTGAATTAAATTTCTAGCAGCTATTTCAAATCAGTTTATTAATTAATTGTTTATGTAGAATTAGATCTTTATATCTACATTTTACTGGAGTTATTTTTTATATCATGATTGTTAAAATCAATCATTGAATTTCTCATTTGTTGTTTCTTTCTATTCATTTTATTTTACCATTGTAAATTTCTATAATAGACATCACAACTATTTATTCTAACATTACTATTATCTTTGTAATTAGGACTAAATGTGCACTACAATCTAATTTAATATTTACTTCTCGAGTAGCTTTCTCTTTTTAGATTTCTACTTACAAAGATATTTTATCATTCTTCTTTCTCATCCATGTATTTTATCTATCAAAAAAAGTACTTGAATTAATTATTTTAGATTTTTGATTGATTTTTGGATTAAAGGTACATTCTTTCATTTCCTTTACATTGTTCATTATTTGCCCTTTTTCAATGAAAGTCTTTAATTTTTCTTACTAGAATATTGCTTTCTGATATAAATAATCTTATTAGGTTGATAAATTGCATTTTGTTTATGATGTATTATGAGTATTTATGCTTGTATGTGAATTTTTTCGAATATTATTTGATGATTATGGTTAAGTATTCTTTGTAATTTCTTTTGATATTAAATCACTTAATCTATTTTAATGGTAATTGTTTTTCTAATTATGATTAATCTTATTCTCTTTTTCTTAAGTTGGTTTTCTTATGTATTTATTTACTTAATTAAGATCCTTAGATTATAATGTTTACATTAGTCTTAACTATTTTTAAAAGTATTGTTGATTTTATGCAGTTTCACAGATTTATATTCTGTCACTCGAAAGAGCATCTGAAAAATCAGGTGTAGGATCATCTGGAACTATAGAATTCTTAAATGCCAATAACTATTTGGAACTTGTTAAACTTAATATCAATAGTATACTTCTAAATAAATGAGAAATTTTGAGATCCCATAAATTCATTTTATGGAGGATGTTTTACAACTTAATCTATAATAACTTCAGGCATGTTTGATAGATTGTCAAGATTATTTGTAGTGATTTTTTTAACGTCTATAAGATCACTTGTCTTTTCACATCCAAAGTTCCTTATTTTTTTTAAACTTAAAAGAGCCTCTTAAGCTTATGGAGATAAATGCTAAAATGATTCGCATTTACTTATGGTATGAGCAGATGAAGTATGAATTTGCATTCAACGTATTAACAAATTAATTTTATAATTAGAAGTAAGTTGCTGATTAACTGCAAATAGTATATATAAAATTGATATGTTATTTTCATTGTTTCTTTGCTTTATCCATTTGATATTATAATTCATCTAATTATCGTTGAAGATCTTCTAATTCATGCATAGGAACAGATTCTGATACATCATCATCTTCTTTCTAATCAATTTAATCTATAAAATCAAATTTATAATATTACTTTAATTATTAAATCCCTTATTAGTTTATTTATTACTTTATTTCATTGTTTTTGATGCACCTCTTTATTAATTACCCTTAAGTTTAATAGTTTATTATTAATTATTAGAATTATTTTTTTTTCCAGAAGAATATATAATACCAGTCTCTTTGGCTAATTATTATTTTATTTATTATGCTTCTTCTTAATATTTAGCTAATTCTTCTGGAGATTTATTTTCATTTTATTTTTCAACTTATGATTTTTCACAATCTTTTACTTTTTTAGTCAATATTTTAATATCATTTTTAAATCCTTCAATTTCTAAAGATCTTCTCTTTTCCAATTATTAATATCTAATTAAAATAATATAATACTTTTCAATTAATTTTGATAGATTCTCTTCCAATTATTATATTTTATTAATATAAATATTCTAAACTTATTCATATTATTCTTTAATAATAGATAATTATTCATCTTTTGATTTTATTTGACTTCTAAATTTTTTATTATATTCATCAGATTTTTTTTCAAGTAATTCTAAAGCTGTTTTATTTTCAACATTATATTTTCTTTAAATTTAATCTAATTCCATTTTCAATTTTTTATTTTTCAATTTTGATACTTCTAAATCTTCTTACATTTATTTCTCCTTATTTTAAAACTTTTATTTTAATACATAACAATCTATAAAATATAAATATATATAATATATACCTTTAACAAGTTCAACATTTTATTTTTCTAATTTTTATATTTTTTAAACCAATTAATCTAATTTTTATTAATCTTCTTTTATTCTTAAATTAGTTTCAACTTCTTTTGCTCTCAATTCCTCTCTCAAAGCTGCAAATTATTGACTCAACATAGTTTCTGCATTTTCAACTTATTTTTTCAAATTCTCATTCTCCAATTAATAAGCATTTAACTATTCATTTGGCATATAAACTGTTTTTAATATACTTCTTCCTTAATTTATATTGTGCATTTTAACACTAAATTGTTTAATACATTTAATATACTTTCCTTGTTTCTCTCTTACAGCTAATGTATCACCTGTATATTTTGTAGTTACTTCAGGTCTTAAATCTTTTTATAATACTACTTATTCCTCTATTGGTTCAATCATAGCCATTAATTCTGCAATCTTCTTCTTATCTTCTAATTCTCTCACTTTAAGAGCATCATTTTCCTTTTACAACTTCAATCTAGCTTATCTTTCTTCAAATAACATTAACTAAATTCTTAAATTTTATTCATACTTTTGCCTCTCCTACTGTTTATTATAACTCTTTTATTTCTTATTTCCTTTTTAATAATTCCCATTCTTATTAATGTTTATCTTCATATTAAATTTTGATTTCCTCCAATTTTGTTAACCATTCAAATCTTTCTTTCTCAAATTCTCCTAATTTAGATCTATAATAAGCCAATAAGTCTTAATATTGTTGGGGATCGTTAGGATTTATTGTAATCAAATTACTCAGATCTCGTTAACTCATTTTATAAACGTTAATTATTTTTTTGATTTTTATATAATATAAACAATTTATACTATAAAATACTTATTCATTTTTTAATTTTCACACCAAATTCTTCATATAACTAATTAATCTCCTTCTTCGAATTCTTATTATTAATATGCAAACTCTATAAATCATTCTCAGATATTTATTAACAATTATTTAATGAATTCAATTCATCTGGTTTAAAATTATTAATATCATAATTTATAAAACTATCCCCTAAAGCTTTTTCTGAATCCTTAACTATTAATTCAGATATTTTCAATTAATTAACTTATGTCTATGATGGATCTTCAGAATTATTAAATTGATTAAATGTAGATTTACCCTAAATGAACAGTCCAATTTCTGTTCTTCTACTTATTTAATTAGGGATAACTTGATCCTCTCTGTTTTTTTCTTTATTAAATCTATAGAATTCTTTCTCATCATTATCACTATCATCAGAATCATATTATCTATTATAATTATAGAGTATTTTACAATAACTATTATTTTTGTATCCTTGTACAACATTCTTCAAATGGAAATTCATATTCACCAACTGTCTAATATTTCTATTTATTTTTAAAATGTTCTGCATCTACAATATAATAATTAATTATCATTCCTAAATACAATTTACTAAATACTTCTAATCAATTCAACAATACCAATATATAAAATAAGGAGACTGTGTTATTCATTTCTATCTAAACATCCAAAAATAGAAGATGATATTGATAATGGCTAAATAATTCCAAAAGGAATGTATATCATTATTAATATTTATTTATATGAGATCGATCTTATTTATCTCTTTACTTTAATATCCAAATAACTCCATTTCTTAAAAACAAAAACTATATTTAGTATACCAATAGCAATAGCCATGCCTAACCAATAATAAAAAAAGTTAGATTCTTAATAAGATAAAGTGGCAAAAACTATGAGAGCAATAGATAATATATTTCTTATGAATTCTATAATATACAAATCTATATTCTATTATTTTTATGTTAAGAATATAATTTATATTATTAGAATAAAATATGGAAATAGCACTAAGGCTAAAGTAAAATATCTAGATATAAAGAAGCATTCATTTTTTATATTATCATCATTATCTTCTTGATTTTTTATCTATATAATTAATCAATAATAATATACTCCTTATGAATATTCACATATTGTATATGTAAGATCAGTAAAGGGAATAATTAATGAAGTAAATTGGCTGATAATGAAAAAATGACGTTATTCTATGAGTTTTGGATTTAATGATTATAATAAATTACGATAAAGCCATATCCTACCTTTTCCATTAATTATAAATTTTGATGGAAATGCTACTATTGCTAAAAGAGAAGCCCAAATTATTAATGGAAAATATTCTTCTCCTTTAAGATTTGAAAATATAATGCCCAATTTAGAAACATCACATAAATAAAAGAGACTAACTAATAAAAAGATTGAGGTCAAAGTCATAACTCTTTTTAATTATTCATTAATTGTTGAGAAATGATGATTAAAGTTAAAATATAATTTATAATTGATTTTAGATAAATTCCATAAATGAATAACTATAGTTAATGACCAATAATATAGAATAAATAATAATGCTCCTCTGTAAATAGGAAATGATTCATATATAAGTGTATTAGTTAATATATCTAATTATTTTTAAGTTGCTAGAAATATGATGAAAGACATTAACATAAAAGAAAATCCAGTGAATAACCCAAACTAAAACCAAGCTTTATTATTTTTATCAGTTTGAAATTGATATTTACGTAATTATTCTTTACAAAGTTTTTATTTAGTTTAATAGAAGTGTTTTAAAAGGTATTTCTCTACTTGAAATAATAATTATTTCACTTTATTTTATCTTACATCAAAATTTATTTCTGATATCAATTTTTTACATTCATCTATATTAATTTGATCTTAATTAAGTTTTATTGATTTCTTATTTTATTTCTTCATAATTTTACGAATCGCTTCTTGATTTATTTTTAAGTACTTTTCAAAATTTACACCCTCATTATATAATTGAAAACATAATTCTTTCAATTTTTTACTTTTTTCATTGAAATCAGAATCTCTTATTTTTATTTATTAGTTTGTTAATTATTCAGTTAACTCTTCAGATACTTAAGAATTTGATCTGATTACTGAACGCTTCTTACTTCTCTCTAATTATCTTTAATATCTATTCATAGACAATATTTATAATTGTATTTTATATGTTTTGCCCTTCAAATCATTATATTTTGCATTCACAAAGGCTTTGATTTTAGATAACTCTTATATAAACTTCTTATTAAATTCTTTCTAATCAACACTAATTTTAGATATTATATATGTTTTTTCCATAACATTTTTCTTTACTTCCTTATACTCTTAAGGACTCTTTGTCTTTTTAGCATATAATAAGAAGTCTTTGAGTGCACCTGAGGTTGATAGATACGCTTTTATAGCCTTATAGTTCAAATACATTAATGCCCATTCTGGTATAATATGATTTTATAAGAATACAGCGAATTTCATTTAATTATTATTTAATCGTTAAAAAAAATTTACATATGAAGCCATCACGCATACCTGTAAGAGCATTTGGTAATGCAGTCTATCAATAACCTATGGAATAACGGCAATTACGACCTTCTTCCATCCAATAAACTATGGAACCAAGATAAATAATGAGATGTGTTTCTTAAGATTAAAAATTACCTTACAAACCTTTACAATATGTTCAATATCCTCAATAAAGGTAATTTACTTAAATTTATTGTATATTAGAGGTTCAAATCCCCCAATTAGATAACCACTTTAAGAGACTGTTGCTTATTATCAATAATAATAATAATAATATTAATAGAGTGTGCCATTAAAAACTGAATAATTGAATAAGGCATCCTTAATTTAAGAACTTAGTAAGGTTCAATCTTAAGCTTAATTGAATTTAGTATAGTAAGATGATATTAATTAATCAGCAATAATTAAACAATAAAATGAACAAATTTAATAATTGTAAACTCAATTATCTGAAAAAGTTCATTAATATTAATAATTGTAAGAGAGATTTAATGTAGAATTCAGAAAGTTTTAGGATGATTTAAGACATAAATTAACAAATATTGATTTGAATATCACTTAGAATGATTACACTTAATAATTTATGTTGGAAATTGATAGAAAAGTATCAAATCTGTAAAATAATTTAAATGAATAAATTAAGGAATTGTAAGAGAATTTTGAATAAAAAACTAAATAGAGTGAACATTTAGTTAAAAATCTATCTTCCAATACATCTTTAAGATTAAATGAAGATGAATAACATTTTAAATAAGAGATTGAAAATTTAAATTCAAAATTGAATTCTAAAGCAGATAGATAAAAAGTAGAATAAACAATTTAAGTATAAATCACTTCATTATAAAATTAATACTAATTACAATTGTAATAAGCTCATTAATTATTAAATAAAATAAATAATGAAAAAAGTGATGAACTAATATAAATCAAAAATTAAATACAAAATACTTTATTACATTTAACATAATAAGTCAATTAAAAATTATAATATATGTATGATACTATAAATGAAAGAGATTAAGAGAATAATAACAATAAACAAGAGAGTAAATAATTGAATTAACACTTTACTAATTTAACTAATAAATTTAAATAATTATAATAATAATCTATTGAAACTATCACATAATTAAAATAGAAGAATAAATAAATTGAAAAAGAGAAACAAGACTTAAATAAATAATTAACTTAATAATAATTTTTAGTTTCATAATTCTAATCAGAAATTACTAAATTAAAAACTACTAATTCTTAATTGACTTTATAATTATCTCCTTAAGCTAAATAAAATAGTTTCTTTTCTACTTCTACAGCAGTAGCAATAGGAAAATAGAAATCAAAAAAACAATTATGTATTCCCAAAAAGAAAAATGAAATTAGTTTGGATGATTTTGCTGATTTTAATGAAAATTCATTGATAGATTCTAATGATAGTTTTGAAATAAATGAAACTTGTGGTTTTAGTAAAACTAAAAAAATTCCATAGATTGGAGAATTCCAAAGTCCTCCAAGAAATCCTTTTAAGAAATCAAATAATCATAAAATTTTAAATGATGATATTATTGATTAAGTATCTTGTAAAAGTAGAGGAAAGTCAGCACCATTACCAATGATGAATGCTTTAACTAAAGCAATTAAAAGAAGTATATTATAATCGAATTAATTTTGATAGGATTGCTTTATTTAGGTAAAAATGATAGAATTTTGACATGTACTTATGATTCAGAATAACATTTAATTGATAGTGATATGGGATTATGTTTATTAGATGAGAATGGTTCTCCATTTGTTGTTAGTGAATAAGAAAAGGCTCAATTAATACAAATGAAATTGATTAGGATAAATTGAACTATTATTATATATACTTATTATTAAATATTTTGATATTATTTTTATAAATATTAAATTTAGAGTAAATTGAAAAATAATGATAAATATATAAAATCACATTAATTAATTGATATGCTCTCTTAATAGTTTAGATTCAATATTTAATTGATTTTATTAAATCTTAATATTTTTATTAATTGTTTCTATTAGATTAGCATCGATATTTAGTGTTTTATTTTTGATATTATAAACTAATACCTTATGATAAGTTAACAGTAATAATAACATTATTTAAGATTATTTACTTGAATGTTCTCCTGTATTTAGATTTAAATAGGATATTAAACTATTTATTAATAATTTTAGATCTTTTAAATCTTAATTTGTATAAATCTATTTGCTAGAAGCATAATTAATAATATCCCTATGTAAAATTACCATAGTATTAATATCAATTTTGCAATTCACTTAATTTGGTATTAATTCTAATTAATTTTCAATTACTTTAATTAATTATTGCAATTAAATTTTGCCTTAAAAGGTTTATTGTTGAAAATGCCTACTTAAACTATTAGTTCTTTTAACTCTTTCAGTCTTTGGATTTCTTAAAGTATTATTGTAATCTGATCCTCTATTATTATCTTCTAATTAAAATTCTGACACTTTAACTAAATCTAATTCATAATTCAATTTATTTGAAGTATTAGTAGAGTGAGATTAAAGAGCACTTGTTGTTTTACAGGAATCATTATTACTATTTAATTTTTATTAAACATTATTAATTTTATCGATGAAAGATGTTAATTCATTTCTTTAAGTATGAAATCTATAATTTTAAGAGTTACTTCTTTCTCTTTCTTATTTATTTTATTTAAGATTCTCTTTTAAATCAAAATAACTAGATGTTTATTTAGATTTATCATTAATAGGTGTTTTATTTTCATATCTATTTGATCTATCATTAGTTTAAAAGGCAGCATTACTGTAACTTCGATTATGCTTATTTATTTATTAACATAATGATTCAGTTCTTTATTTAAATCTTTACATTTAAATAGAATATTTTGATTGATTACTCTGTGAATTTTAATTTTCTCTATGAGTTTATGAATGAATCTCTTCTTATTTAGGTGAGTTTTCTTTATTTTCATTTAAATTAAAATTAACTGCTTTAAATAAGTCTTCCCAATTCCATCTTTTTTCTTCTCTTATTTATAAACATCCTTTTATCAATTATTTTGTAGAATCAGAAACATATGGATGAACTGGAAATGATAGAGGCTAATTCATAATATATTTATATACTTTTGAATCTAATTTATTCATCAATTCTACTAAATTTTGAGAATGCCATGGAGTCATACCATAAAGCATTTCATAAAGTATTAAACCTAATGACCAAATGTCACATTTAGATGAATATTTGCCTCTTTTTAAAATTTAAGGACTCATATATAAGGGAGTACCAACAAGAGAATTCATTATAGTATCAAGATTTTGATCTATTTGTTTTGCAAAACCAAAGTCTGTAATTTTGAATTGAGAATCATGAATGAGGATATTAGCTGGTTTAATATCACGATGTATGATGCCTTATTTAAGTAAAGCCTTAATTCCTTATAATAAATCCTTTAAGATTTTGAGTGCTTCCTCTTCAGGGATAGCTCTAAATATTTTTAATATATTACTTTCTTGCCTTTATAAACTCTCTTAAATCACCACCATTACAATATTCAGTTATGATGTAAGTATTATTTGCACTTTATAATACATCAAGTAGTTTAACAACGTGTGAATCATTAATTTTTTTCATGATTTCAATTTCAGATGCAATGAGTTGATTGGCATAATCAGTAAGTAGTAATTTCTTATCAATAATTTTAAGAGCAACAATACTATCTAATGATAAAAATGCAAATGTACTATCATTAGTATTTTTACCAGCATAGACTGTCCCATATGCACCTTTGCCTAATTTGGATCTAAAACTAAATTGATAATTCTGTATTTTTTTATCAGGTGGATAGCTCAGATGTTACATTTTATATTTGAATTTGAAATATTTATTTAATGTTATCAATAATAGTCTAATTTAAAATTTATGGCAAAATTGATTAAAATAAAACTAAATGAATCAATCTATAATAAGATGTCTAATAAATGAAATAAGAAGTTAAATTAAATCTATTCGGTAGTAACTATAAAATAACTAGACAATTTTTGTATTATTTAAAATTTACAGACTTTATAATAATCTAAACAATATATGTAATTTTAATAAGTATAATAATTATTTAATTAATGTATCAAATTATTGCAATAATTTGTTTTTATCTTATCAGTATAATTTTCTGGAGATATTCTGTAATTAATTTTGAGTTTAACAATAATATTATTAAGTTCTAACAAGAATTTAGTCATTTTATAATCTGTCATATGTAAATTTCTTAGTTAAAAACCTTATGTATTATTATTAATTAAGATTATTTATAATTTTTCATCAATCATTTTATTATTTTAGAATATCCAGTATACATAAAATTTTATACATATATATTTTTATATTTAAAATCAAGATATGAGAAATAAACCATAAGCACCTGCAACTTAGAAATAATAACCTTAAAAATAAGGGAATGTACGTAAACCATAGGAAAGGTATTGTATAATTATTGAAATGTGAAGACCTGGATTAACTGATGATGAGATTGATGAAATAAGAGAAGCATTTAATTTATTTGATACAGAAGGGACAGGAAGAGTAGATCCAAGAGAATTAAAAGCAGCTATGCAAAGTTTGGGATTTGATTAAAAAAATCCAACAATTTTCAATATGATTGCTGAGTTAGAGAATGAAGGGTATATAGTATAAAGATAGATTTAGAACTGATATTGATTTTGACTAATTTTTGGATGCCATTACATCAAAATTAGGAAATAGAGAAAGTAAAGATGGAATAAATAAAATATTTGATTTATTTGATGATGATGGAAGTAATTCCATTAATTTGAATAACTTGAAAAGAGTATTATTTATAGATTGAAATTGTATTAGGTTTCTAAAGAATTAGGTGAGACAATGACAGCAGAAGAGTTAGCAGAAATGTTAGAAAGAGCAGCTTCAAATGGAAGAGAAATCACTAGAGAAGATTTCTATAATATTATGGTTAAAAGAACATTTTGATAAAACATCAGATATATAGATATATAAATTATATAAATAAATGATTAAATTAGAAGCACACACCTTTCATCATAAAAATGTTATGACACCAGCTTAATTATCAAATAAGTCTCCCATAGATATTGTTAGATTGAAAAAAATCATTTTCAAGAGAGAGCTGTTAAATACAGAATAGAATTTTCTTGTTTAAGTAATGTCTTTATTTTCTATTTCATTCAGACTGAAGAAAATTAAGAAATTATTTACATAAAACCTGATGTCCCAGATCTCATTATGACTGATCTTACTAACATAGCCATATAAGAAGATATCTCTGAATATCAAGCTTTAGAGTATCATTATAGAGCAGCCAAACTGTTAGAATTTTATACATAGAATTAGTAATCCAAACCTTTACCTTAGGATTCAAATATAATATACATCTGTTTTATTCTCAAAAATAAATTATGCCATAATACTAAAGAAATATGCAGCCTAAAATGAAGCTTTAGAAATGTTGTTAGATTGTGTATAGATTCTTAAGATTAAAGGAAAAACACTTAAAAAGACTCCATCTGAAAGTTTAAGCTTAGCCAAAACAATCTAAAACAAGTTATTGAGATTGAGACTCATCTTTTAGATTACTTTACTATTTTCAGAAACTAAAAAGTAAAATCTATATTTTATATCAGAAATAAACAGGCCTTAGAAATGGCCAAAAGTGCATTAAGAATTTTAAAGAGTATTATATAGAATACTATAAAATTGTGTTAACACATAGCTGTATCATCATAAATCAATAAAAAACAAAGAGCTAATTCAGAAGTCAGTTCTCCTTTATAAAAGAATTAGACATCTAATCTACCTTAACAATAATCCTAAATTCTATCTTATCCATAAATTGTAGAAGTTGTCTTTAAAGAAATTTTGATTTCTATAAAAAGTATGCTACCAAACGATGACAAATCTCATGACGTTATGAGTACACAAAATTTAATGATTCGAAATTTTTAAAATAGAAGTCAATCACTTTTTGCTTCTGAATATGTATTTTAATCCTAAAATAATTAATAAAATAAATTATTTACTATTATTGATGATACACATCCTATGTTATAAATGTAAATTTTAGGGTTGATGTAATTAACTTATGTAGATTTAGAAGAATTATTTCCTATTAATAGTTATGAGATGGTAATGGCTGAAGAAGTCATTTTAGAATTAGTAAATCTTATCAATTAATTTATTAGATTATGCTAACAGGATTAAGTTTCTATAGTATATCAACTGAACTTAGATTCATAAATCTTTAATCAAATAAATTAACTGTTGAAATATGGTTAGGCAAAGCAGTAGAAATATTCTATACTTATGTGCCACATTCTAGTGCAATATTCAATTAGATTTATCAAGTTTATCAAAAATTATATGGAGTAGACAAATAATCTATAGTAATTTATTCAAAATATAATTATATAGCCAGAAGATGAGGAAGTAGAATATCATACTAAATTATTGAAACCACATCCTTATAACAATAAATCCACTCTCTCTAATAAAGTTGTTATTATTATTAAAGTCCCTAATTAAAACAAATAATCTAAAGAAACAGAAACCAAATAAACCAAAGAAACAGAAAACAAATATTCTAAAGAAACAGAAACAACATTCCAAAAAATATAAAAAACAATATTAGCTAAGAAACAAGCATTACTTGCTCAAAAACATATATTTACGTAACCTGATACAGATAAAAAGTTTGATACTTGGCATGATGAAACAGAAAAATCTCCTTAATAATAGCAGAAATTATTTATTTAAAAAAATAATAACTCTCTAAATTCAACTGATATAAGATAAAGAGTAGAAATCTTAATGAATTAAATACTTAATCAATAGGCCAAATTAACTTAAGAAAAATTAAAATAAAAACATACACCTATAACTATCTTAAAACAAAAATATCAAGCTACATCCAAAGTCCAAGAAAATTAAAAGACTTTTAATCCATTTATGACTTCATAATTTAAGACATCTATCTCTGCTAGTAGATCTCTTTCAAATTCTAGAAAAACTAGCTAAGCTAATTTAAAAAATTAATCAAATGGTGTAAAAACAGCTTAAATGAGATATCGTACTTAAATAAGCACAATAACCGGAGATGATTCATCTAAATAACTTGCTTAATAAATTGCTATATAATTAGCTACTCTTAATCGTTAATCTAATGTAAAATCTATCATAATTTATTATATAGAAAGGATTTCTTTATAAAAGAAGTGAGTCTGTTAAAAAGACTAAAGTTCCCATTCAATAACGTTGATTTACTTATTAAATTATATAAATTTACTCCTTCTTTACATTTTATAAATTAATTTAATTTAATATTTTTAAATATAAATTAAATTAATTTCATTTATTAAATTACAAAGAACAAAATTCTGTACTTGTAATATATTCTTAATCTTCCAACTATTATTATCCATTATTCATAAAGTTAAATCGAGTTGAATCACATTAATTTGGTGAATATTATAAATCAAATGGTGATTAATCAAGATTAAGCATATAAAATACATCTTAATTTGATTAATCATTATTTTATTCATATATTTATTCAAATTCTTTATTTTTAATTATATGTTAATCCTTAACTATTTTATAACCTTATTTTTATATAAATTAATCTTTCAATTTTAAACTAAATGGTTCATCAAAATCCCCTTCAGATACATATTAGTTTTAGAAATAAATCTAATTTGAATCTACTTGAAAATTGAGAGGTTAATTTATAACATTGATAAATTATTTTTCCATTAATCTAAATTCTTATACAACTTTACTATCAAAATCAACTTCAGATTGTTATTTGAAATTAATCAAAGTCTAAAGACATGTGTAAATTTCATAAATATATTATCGTAAAACTCTAATATTTTGTAATTCCTAAAAATTAAAAATATCAAGTAATGGTTAAATATTACATTATTAAAATATAATATTTGTTGATAAACATTTCATTTAATTAATTTATTCTGGAAATTTACGATCTATTATTTAAGATAATGCTTCATAAGAGAACGTTTTATTTTATAAATTATCATAGATTGACATTTTTTATTTTGTAATGCATTATTCATTTAAAATTTGATTTAACTCTTATTTTGAAAAATCAATTTTAATTTCTAATAGATATTTTAAAGTTTATTATCTTAATTATTCTGTTACATCTTCATCACTAATCCTACTAATAAAAGATTCAGATATAATATTAATTAGCTTAACAATTAAATTTGTCTTATCTTTATTATAAAGTTTATGATCTTAAAGTACTTAGATTAAATCAACTTCATTCAAACTTATACAAGGGTATCCTACTTATTCAAGTTTATATTATAAATATTCATATGTTAATATTTTTTACTGTATTTTTTGGAAAGAGTCATCAGAATTTATGTAGTGATTAAAAAAACTTACATTATTTATTAATTAACTTTACAATTTTGAAATTAAGTCATTATTATCATCGTAATAAATAATTTTGGATTTATTATCAATTTCATTGTTTTTATATTAATCTAAACTATAATCTATGATAGATGATCTTTAATATAAATGTTATTCTTATTTTATCTTTTTCTTTTATTATTTTGACTTTGAATAAATGTTTCCTTAAATAATTGTTGTTAAAGAAGTAGTAGGAATTGGAATTTTTTATACTAATGATTAATGTTTTTATTGTGGTTTAATATCTAAAATTAACGTTTATTTTTTATAATTAATTGGATATTCATCATAAATATTTTTAGGAGTGTAAGAGATGAGTATATGAGATAATTCTTGGCATAAATTTTAATAGCAATATTTAATTCTTAATAAATCAACATTATTTTTTGTTTCAATTTTCAATAATAAATCCATAAATCCATTAAATTAATTTATCAATTTCTAAATAAAAATCCTAAAATTTCTAATAATGTTGAATTCATTAATATCACATAAAAAATTAAAGTCATCTGTCAAATTGGAAGTTTATATTGAATTAATTGTTTAATGTTATAGATTCTATAATTCTGATGGTAATTTAATGCCAATTGTATTAAATAAATTTAAATATGAAAATACTTTATTTGGTATTGTATCATAATAAAGATTGTTAGTTCTAAAAGTAAAAATAGAATCAATTTCATTTTTCCATTATAACTCACTCCATTGTATTTCTAATCCTTTCATATTAAAAAATTATTGGACTCTCAAACTAATTATATGAACTCTTTCATTCCAATTAGTGATTTGAGTCGATTCTCCAATAAAACTTATTAAAGTTCTAATTTTTCTTAGTTGTTCAAAATGACTTTAATGTTAAATTCCTTTCAAATATTTGTAAATTCTTTCACTATCTACATTAATTGAAGGAAAACCAAACAACATTATGACTTTTTGTTAGAGTAATTTAACATTACACTAAAACATTATCTACTCTAATTCTTTATTCATGATTCTTAATAATGGAAATTGCAATGATTATTTATGATTAGATGACAATTAGCAAAAGTCAATAGAATCACTCAAGCTTTATTACATAACAAATATTAAAATTATATATCAACAATTCTCCACAAATTTAATTGATGAAAAGATAAAATTATGAAATGCAATTAAAATAATATCAGAATTATTATAGAAGTCATTAGTTTAAAGAATAAACTATTGATAACAATTAATTTCCCTTTATTAAATTTTTAAATTATTTTTTATAATATATTTTCAAATGGATTAATCGTTTAACGATCTTAAATTTCAATTATAGTAAGAACTATAAAAGGAAGGAATGGTGGAAAATATGAAAACATAACTTAGATACAAGTTATTGGAGAGATTGTAAATGTAATAAAAGAAAATTCCTTCTTCAGATAAAGTATCAGAAAGTGAAATGTTATTAAAAAGAGTGTTAGCTAGTGCAGTAGCAGATTATTTACGAGAGGCCAAAATGGATTATTCATTGTACTTTTACTATATATTTTAGATCTGTTTTTGTACCAGAAACTACTTTTGGTGCAGCTTTATTGAATAAGGAAGAATTGAAAATACTTTTAAAAATTGATAATTTATAAGGATCAATTTTATCGTAAATGTTTAGTGATATAATGCTTCTTAAACCTAAGGAACCTCTTAAATCAAATGCAGCTACTTAAACATTCTATGGGGATGCTGTAATAAATTTGGAATAGAAATTAAGCATGGTTGATAATATGTACAAAAGTAAAATTGAAAATGAATTACTTAAACCTTAATATGATATGGAGGAACGTATTCTTAAGATGAAGAGAGAATATGAGTAACGTTTGAAAACAGAGATTGCTACAGAGACAACTAGAATAAGAGAATTTGAAGCATAACATATTAGGTTGGAAGAGGCTGATAAATACAGATAAAAATTATAAGATTATAGAGAGGAATTAGAGAAGAATTTCTAAGAAAAATTAAATGTTTTAAGGGAAAGAGAAAATGATACATTAAAAATGGCTGCATAAAAAACAAAGGAATTAGAGTCTTTGAATTATTAATATAGATAAAAAATATTAAAGGAACATGAGATAATAAAATTAAAAGAATAAGAAATAGAAAAATAAAGAATTTCTAATGAGGAGAGTTTGAAATTTTAGAAAGCTAAATTAGATGTAATGGAAAGAGATTTGTCAAAGAAATTAGCAGAAGCAAATGGTAATGAAGATGTGATTAAAAGAAAATATGAAGCATAAATTCATGCAGCTAAAGCATCTGCTGAAACTGAATTCTATGAGGAAAGAGAATAAATAAGAAATAAACTTAAATAATTAGAGGGAGATCTTAGAAATATGGAGAATTTGAAATCAACAATAAAGACTTTATAAAGAGAAAATGAATAATTAGTAGAAGAAAATAAAAAATATGTTGAATAAGTAAGGGAAGTTAAAAAGAGAAGAAAGGAAATGGAATATGAATATGAATAAATGAAAGAAAATTTAAGAGCAGTAAGTGATGCTTAAAGAAGAGATTAAGAATTATGTAGAAAATATGAAACAGATATAAGATTAAAAGAAGAAGAAATGACACTTTATAAAACAACTATTAATCATAAAGATGGAATGTTGAATGATCATAAAGTACTTTAATAAGAATAAATCAAAAAATTATAAAAAGAAATAGAATAATATTAAAAAAAGGTTGAAGCTTAAGAACTTCTTATCAAAGATTTATAAGTTAAAGAGAATCATTCACCTAATTTTGATATTTAATCTGCTTTATTTAAAGGAAACATAGCTGATTCATAATTAATGTAATATAATTTTTAGGACCACAATAATAAAATGAAGTAAATTCATAATGAATTAGATGAGAATAGAATGAGAAGAAGAGAAGAAATTAAAAGATTATAAGAAAATGCTGTTGTATCTCTTAATACAGAACCTGCATTGAAATTTGATAATGTTTGGGATGTTTACAATAGTTCAGTTAATTATTCATAGATTGGAGGAGTGTAATATAGATCAAAGTTACATGAGGATTATTAAGGTGGTAAGATATTTTAGACTGGAGAAGATGCTTAATCTTAAGTAATTTAGAGTGGTGTATTTTAAAAGAAGCCAGGATAAGGAGGAACACATTAATAGTAATAAAATATTATCGAGGAAACATATTCAGAACTTATGTGACTTAGTTATATTTTATATATATATATATATAATACGCTTAATGATTTTTACTCCAGCTTCTTAATAGGAAAAAGCAACTTTAGAGAAAATAGGAGAATTTCTTATGGGTTTAAGCAAAAATGTTCTTAAACAAGGAAGTTCTATTAGTTTACCAAAATTTTTATAAGATTTAGAGCTTACATCAAATGAACTATGTTATATGCTTTAAGCTAGAGATTAAAATGATTATAGTCATGCTATAAATAGATATACGTAAGTTTGGAAGGATGTATTGAAATCAGTTTAGAATATCAATCAAATGTAAACAGAAGGGGAACATGAACTTGAACCATTGTCTAGAGCAGATTTGATGTAACGAATGAAAAAGAGAATGATGGAAGGAGGTCAAACTGGTAGGTTAGGAGGAGCTAGAGTTGGTGGCTTCTAATCACCGTTAACAGAAAATGAGCGAATAAAGAATCGTTAATTAAGTAGCAAAAACTCAAATATATTGCCATCTATAAGATTGAATTCTTTCGATCAACAGAATGATAGAACATTTAATAATTCATCAAGAATGTAATATGAATTAGATGATCATCAGAAATGTATCTTAAATGAAGTTTTAAAACAAAGTAATAAATTAAATGTGTAAATTGTTATGAAACGATATGATCCAAAAATAAAGTTATGCATATCATAAGGAACAGATACAAATCTTGATATTTTAGAAGTTATGAGAAATTTTAAGAAGGTATATTATTAATATAATTGTAAAGGAATATCATGAAAGTAAATTATAAGAGATTGTAAAAGAAAGTGATAAACATAGTATGGAATTATAGAAATTTCTAAATGAAAGAATTGATTATAGATATTCTTTATAAACTTAATAGGTAACTGATAAATTAAAGGGAGTACATAAATAAATGATTTAAAAGACAATGGATATTGAAACTGTAATATTAGATACTTAAAAATAACAAATATAATAAGACATGATACCTAACATTTTAAATGAATTCATAGATTATATAAATGAGAGTTATCAAAATGTATAACATGAGACATATAAAGTATTAATGAAATTTGTATCGGGATTTATAGTTAGAAGAGTTAAATAAGATACTGAAAAGAAATTACCTTAATAAAATTCATAATAATTATTGTCCAGTTCAAATAAAGAACGTAAAGGTCCACCTCTTAGAAGAGCTGATAATACAGAGTAATTGTAAAAGGAATTATCAAATAAAAATGCAGAATTGGATAAAAAATTTATGGAGAATGCAGAATTATGGAATAAAGTTAGGTAAATGGAAAACTAAATTATGTAATTAAATATTGAAATTGAATCAACTAAAATTGCTGAAAAGACTATAGAGTAAGAACGAACTTAACTCTTATATGATAAATAAAAATTAGAAAAATAATTATTAGTAATAAATAGTAAAACATTTTAAGATCAAGCAATTCAAGTCTCAGATCAAACTATGCAATAATAAATATAGAAATTATAAAAAGAGAATTAAGAATTATAATAAAGATTATATCAATTAACAGGAGAATTAAATAAAAAGAAATCAATACCAGCAGATTAAAAAAGCCTATAAATGGATTTTGGTAATAGTTAAGATCAATCTAATAAAGATTCACCAAGAGCTAATAGTAAGGTTAAATCTTAATTTGATTTTCCTCAAGATGAAGATAATATTTCAATTGGATATCGTGGAGAATCAAATAGATAGATTTAGTATAGTGATTATACAAAAAGATAAAGTACTGATGTTGTATATAGAATGAGTTTTACACAACATATTCAATCTTAAAAAGATTAAAAGATTTCAAAAAACAATAATCAAACATCAGATTCATAATAAAATAAAAGAGATTTATTACATTCATCTACAGAACTTCATCCATCCAAATAACCTAATAAATAAACTACACTTGATTAAAAGTCAATATAAGAATTAGATGAAGAGTAAATGCAAAAAAGTGGATTGTTATTTTAATAACAATCATAACAATAAATCAGAAAAAGTGTATCTCCTAATAATGATAATTCACAATTATTAAGAAAAATGAGTTCAATCTCAAAATCTGATTAATAATTAACTTCCTCTATTGTAAGAAAGTCTACTGTTAATTAAATGAAGATGGGTGATTCAACTATCCCAGATATTGATTTAACTTAAGCTTAAACTATTTAAGATACATAAAGGACAACATCAGGTAGAAAATTAACTTTGACTGAAAGGAAAAATGATTCAAGTCCTACAGATAGAAGAATATAAACTGAATTTTATGATTAATCATAATTTCAATAAGGATAATAAAATACTCAAATTACTAATACTCCACAATAAAATAAATAAATTAGAGGAAATAAAAAATCTGAAACTCTATTATCAAATAAAACAAAAAATAAATTTCCCAGAAAATCAACTGATACAATAAGAGATATTCAAGAAGATTAATAATCTGGAATAATTTCAAATAGAGGATCAACTAGAATAATAGAAAATAATAAAACAAGGATACATTTAATTAAAGAAGAAGATGAAGTCAGTAGACATTCAAAATCTCGTATTTCTTCATAATAATCTTCATAATCACATATAAGAAGATCAAGTACTACCATTTAATAACCAATTAAAATGGCTATAAAATTAAATGATGAAAATCCATCTGAATATATTGCATAATGGAAATAAAGAATGGTAGAATAAGAATAATAAACAGATATTGAATTATTAACTAATTTTATAGAAAACTTCATTTTAAATATGGGATTACCTAATGAAATTTAATAGAAACTTATTGAAGCAATTCCTGTTATGATTTAATAAAGAAATTTAAATTAATCTTCTGAAGATTAAAATGCTTTGATTAAACAATAATAATCTTTTAGAAATGTTGTTCAAAAATATGGATTTGATACTGAAAGAGTGAGTTCTACTTAAACAAAAAATCATAGTAAATAATAATCTTAAGAATCTCTATTAAAATATGAATCAGAAGATGATTAAGCATAAATGGGATCAAAATAAGGATCATAGAAACAAATGGATACATAAAGAAGTCAAAATTTAAATTAAAATTTTAAATAAAAATCAACTAAATTTTATTAAGAAAAATAAAAGAAAGATTCTACTATTTAAAGGTAACCTTCCAGATAACCTATAGATCCATAAGAATAATTTGATTAAGATGAAGCTTAATATATTTTTAATATGGCAGCTGATTTAAATATAGATTAAGTAGATTAGTTGTCTTATGAAGAGATGGTAAAATCAATATAGAATTAAGAAAATGATGGTAAATAATTACAAATAATCAAACCTAATGAATTAAAAGGAGAAACTTTTTTAAGAACATTATTTAATCAAATTTAAAATAAAAAAACTAAAGGAATTGAAAATGTATAAGAATTACTTAGAAAATATTATAAAAAAGGAAAGCATGAAAACATAACTTATTATGAATTCAAAGCTTTCTATTAAAGATTAGCTGCCATTCATAAAATGTGTGGATAAGATATGTTATGTAATCATTTATAAAGATTTATAATGAGATTAGGATACACATGTTCCATATTTTCCAAAAGACAAGTAATTTATATTATTAACTTATTTAGTTATTAAAAACTAGTACTTCAGTAATAAAACCTTTCAATACTACTGAAGATATGACAACCCAATCTAAATTGACTAATACTCATCATAATTTAGCTTAAAGTAGATTTACTAGTCAATAATTTTATATGTCAGAAGAATAATTTTATTGAAACTTATTTCATTATTACATTATTCCAATCTTATTATTATTTATTTATTCTTTATTATACTAATTTAATTACAATCACCATTCAAAAACACACTTCTCTGGACTAATTGTATTACCAGGTTTACATTAATTAAATACAGGACATGTCTATAATAATTATATTTATTAAATACTTAACAAGGCAAATAAGATAAATAAAATTAGAATTTTTATTATTTAAATGGATTTAATTTGAAGAAAGAATTTTCTTCCTCAATTAGAATTGAATCATATTTCAAAAGATTGATTATGCGATCAAAATCTGTCTCATCATAATGTTCTGATTATTAAGCTTTGTAAACTCTACGTATTTCATCTTTTGATGCTTTACCATCACATTATTACTGCATAAAATATATTAGTTTTTATTTTATTCTTTCAATTAAATCATCATCTACACCCTAATCAGCTGTTCTAAAAACATTTGTGGGTAAACTTGAATCAAGTGTTTAATTAAAATCTATCCAAAGTTTAACTCCTGTTGTTCTACCATTAGGACGAACTGATTTGATTTTATCTCTATTTTCTAATGTTTTAATTATCTTTTCAACTTCCTTAGAATTAAGTCCAGCATTTTTAGCTAGATTTGCTTTAGTGATTCCTAATTTCTTTGAATTTACTACTAAATTGTAAATTTTTTATTATTCCTCATTTAATTAAATTTCCATTTATTATATTAATGTAGTTATAGATGATAAACTCATGACTTATACAATTAGAAAATGAAAAATTTATTAATTATAACATATATTGATAAATTTAATATGTATTAATATTTAGTTGTTGGTTTTTATTTTAAATTATTAATTAACTGAAATGAGCAAAGTGATTGAAAATTATGTTCTATAAGATGTTATAGGAAGTGGACAATATGGTAAAGTATATAGGGCTAAAAATATGAAAAATGATCAAATTGTTGCAATCAAAGTAGTCAAATTGGAAAAATTTAGAGAGGTCCCTAAATTACATGAATTTACTATTAATGAGATACAAACACTATCAAAAATAGATAATCAAAATATAGTTAAATTTATTGAAATGCTTAAAACATAAAATAATATGTATTTGATTTATGACTTTTGTAATGGTGATACATTAGAAGCATTATTATAAAAGAGAAAATTCTTAACAGAACCAGAAACTATGAAGATATTTGCTTAAATTCTAAATGCATTCAGGTAATTAAATATATCTATATTAGATCATTGGTCCGTGAAAATATACTCCATAGAGATTTAAAGCCATCCAACATTCTATTTCATGATTAAATTGTAAAAGTAGCTGATTTTGGCTTTTGCAAAAGTTTACTTCATAATAATGATCTAACTTAAACTATGGTAGGTTCACCAATCTATATGGCTCCTGAAGTATTAAAAGGATGTTCATATAATTGTAAAGCAGATGTTTGGTCTTTGGGAGTAGTTCTTTATGAATGTTTATTTGGATTTTGTCCATTTGAAGATAAATCAATAGCTAGATTAATTATGCAAATTGATAACAAAGAGATTACATTTCCTAAACATGTAAATCAACTTTCAAGAAAATGTGAAGAACTAATACGATCAATGTTACAAGTTGATCCTCGTAAAAGAGTAGACTGGCAATAATTAATGCAAATAACCTTTTATGAAGAACCAAATGTAACAAAATAAATTACTTGCAATTCTAATACTAATGCTATATAGAACTTACCTTAAATGCTTAAAAAATAAGCCTCAACTAACCAAGTTTTATAGGATAGAACTAACATGACTAACAATTAACCTTAATAACAATAATAATAATAAGACTTTTAGAATTTAAGAGTGCTTTTGAGAGAGAGAAGTAAAATTATATTCTTAGCCTAAATGGTATCATTTTTATTAGAATAAAATACAGTTTCTGCTGTTTAACTTCATGGAAGCTTATCATTTTCATAAAAAACAGCTATCATTGCTTATTTTCTTATGAAATTAGCATAAAATTAAACAGAAATAATAAAAAAATAATTAGATCAAGATCATAGGAGAGAAAGTAGATGGGAAGAATTTTAAGGTAGTAATGAATATAAATAATTCAATTCTACATTTCAAAGAGAAAGTGAATAATTATTGATGAATATAGAATCATTTAAAAATGAAGCTTAAAAAGTTATTAGACATATGTAATAGAATGATTTAACAACTCAAATAAGAAATGAATTGATGAATCCATAGTTTAATAATTTAAAATTATACACCTCTTTATTAATTAGTTATATTGAAGAAAGTAAAGAAAGATAAGTAAATTTAACAGAAGATTTACAATAAAAACTTTTAGTTGGACTTATTGATTTATTAGAGACTAGTTAACTAAATGAATTTTTTGATAAAAATTTAAGTGACATTAATATTAGATTTAATGATCAAAGATATTTTGAATAAGTAATTTCATTTTATTTATCATTAGATGAGAAAAATGCCAAAGGAAACACTAACAGATATCCTCAATTAAAGATTAGTTAATGCAAAGATCAAATGTGCTAAATGAAATTTCTTATAATTTAAATATAATCAATTTAATTTTTTCTAAAAGTATGAATGATTAGAAGCCTAATGTACATCCAAACGATCTATTTAATTATAGGCTAAACAACCTCTAATGAATTCTTTGCATTCATTTGAAATTATTGGTTTCTAAGGGAAAGTCACAGATTGAGATTTTACAATAATCTAAAACTCTTATATAGAATATTACTTATTCTTTCAATATCTTCTCTTGGCTCACACCTTAACCAAAGGGTTTTTAGCCAAATAACATTTCAAAAAATATAACTCCAATACTCCAAATATCAACTTTGCTAGAAATATTTGGAGGTTAATCACCCATATGAAAACATTCTGGAGGTAAATACCAATATGTACCCACTCCTTATGAAGTGAGTTATAATTTTGAATTATCATCTTCTAAGACTTTACATAATCCAAAATCTGAAATTTTTAGTTCATTTAAATGAAATAAAATATTTTATGGTTTTAAATCATAATGAATAATCTTATTCTTATGATTATTTAAATATTTAATAGCTGAGATTATTTATCCTATTAATAATTTTGCTTCCTTTTCTGGAAAACATTTATATTTTTTAATATAATAAGCGAGATCTGGACCATCACATAATTCTAAGACTGTACAAAATGAAGATTTATCGATTTCAACAGAATCATATAATTTTACAATATGAGGATGATTTAATTCTTTATGAACCCTATTTTCTCTAATAGCATGTCTAATATAATTTTGTTTTGCATGATCTGACCAATTAGAATTTAGCTAATGAATTTTACATGCTACTTCTCTTAATTCTTATAGATCATATGCCTAATTTATATAAAATATATTACTTTATAAACTTCACTAAAACCACCTTTTCCTAATAAACTTAGAACTTAATATCTTTCACCTATTAATGGATAATCATTATTTTTTGTAAATCTAGCATGTTCTTCTTCATATACTCTTTTTAATTATTTGATATGTAAATTCTTTTCTGTTTCTAATCTATCAACTGTTTCTTATAATTATTATTCCTCTTTTATTAAAAAATTTAATTTAACATTAAGAGTTCTCATTTCTTATTCTTCTTTATTTTTTGAGTTTTTCTTTTTATTTTCATATTCTGCTTTCAAAATTTCTAATCTTTTTGACTATTCTTTTGCTTCCCTCAATTCTTATCCATCAATCCAAACATCAACTAAAGCTGTTTTCTCTCTCTAAACTACATATTCACCTAATCTAACTCTATTTGTTTATAATTAGATTTATAATTATTATTTTTTAAGTTTTTCATTCTCTATAGCAAATTATTTTACTACATCCTAAATCCTTAATTACTATTCAGTTAATGACTAAAAATATATTATATATATACATACTGATATAGTTTCACGAAGTTCAGAGTTATGAGTTTCTAATTCTTTTATTTTTATTTCAGAAATTGCTACTTAATTTTATTTTTCTTTTAGTTATTTTTCTAATACTGGATCACTAGGTAATGGACTTTTATTTTTAAATGGAGAATCTTATATTGAATATTCCATTAATTTTTATTCACACTTCTTTGCTTTTTATTACTTTTTTTAATACTACAAATACTGAGTGATCTATGAATTTTTTCAATCAATATACATCTTTTTATTATCCTTCTTTAGTCTTTTTCTTTTTTTTCTGCTATGAATGTTTCTTAGTTATTATACTTTTCTTTTATACAGGACTCAAATTTTATGAAGTATATAATTTCTAAGGAGAATTTTCACTATTTTATGAACATTTTAAGTCATCAGACTTTTTATTAGAATCCATATTCTGTTTATTACGATCATTTTCATCTGTTTGTTTCTCACTTTCCATCTATAAAAATTACTCTTAAATGATTTCCTCTTTTGATTTTTTATGAATTCTAGCTTCTAAACAAATAAGTCGATCTAGTTATTCTGGCGGCAATTATTGATGCATTATAATTAATTAAATTATTAAATTTGAGCACAAATGCAAATAATACTAATTTAATTAGAATTATTATTATTTATTAAAATAAAAATGATGGTTGTAAAGAAGTATATTATCATTTTATATCATTATATATATTGATCATTAGATCAAATGGTAAATGAAAATAAATATAATTATTTTAATTAATAATTTCTCATCAAATTTTGCTTGATTAGAAATATTAAAAAAAATCTGTCTTCTTTTATACTATAGTTATAAATTAACAAATTTTATATTCTCATAATTTTATTCATAAGAAGGTGTTAAATATTGAAAAGTTTATTAAAATAAATCCGAATGAATTAATTTCTATTACAATAATTAAATGAAATACATAAATATAATTTTATGTGTCATATCTATTCATGAAAATTTAATATTTTGAATAAAAACTATCTCTAAATATAATTTCAATTCTAAACAATTCACTAAATGATTAAAAATAAAACAAACTTATAGATATTCGAGGAACAAAAATTATACTTAAAATAAATCTATTCTTTTAGATAATTACTTATATTTAATTATTGTTACTTCAAATAATAGGTAAATGAATTTCAAACAATTCTAAATCATCAAAATCTTTTATTATTTAAAATCTTTTGGTCATCATTTTAAAGTTATAATATAATTCAGATAAACTGTTATGATAATCATATCTTTTATTTTACAATTATATTTAATTCTACAATTATATGGAAAAATAAGACCAAAATATTAAAATTATAATGAAAAAAGACTATTGTCAGTTAATGTTTCTAAAAATATTCTTAAATGAATTTTCATATTAAATTATTAATAAACTGAATAAGTTGTTGGAAAATTGATCAAAACCTTTGGAAATTGAATTTTTAAGAGATCATATAAAGATTAAATAAAAAATTTGGCGCAATAAAAATCTATTAGAATACAAAACATTGATGTGTATAAATTAAAGTATTTTTAACGAATATTAATTAAAATTAATGATCCCAGGAGGAATATTTTCATAGTGTTTGTAGGAAATAAAGGAAAATTGCCCTCCTTTGTAACGTGTAAACTACAGCCATAAAAAATCATTTAGACATTGCTTGGAGTCAATCACTTAAAAGATTCCAATAGTAAAATCAATACACAAACTCCGATTAGATTAGGAATAGAAAATATATTAGAATATTCATAGAGTTAAGAAATTGAATTTAATGCATGAAATACATTAAGTAAATCCAAAACTCCATAATGAGTTAAAATAGATTTAGCATGATCAACTGACCCTAAAATTTGGTATTAAGTTATTTCTATTATAGCTGAATACAAACAATAACAAGAATAATGCGCTGAGATATTATCAGATACTCAGGATAGTTATATTAAGTATTAACAATAGTTAGATCATCATGGATCAGGATTAAAAATATTTCATAACAGACCTCTAATTCGGAATATAATGGAAGAATATGATTAAGAAGAGAGTACCTATAGTGATTCATACATTAATAAATATTTGGATCTTAATTGAGTATTATATAATTAATTGACCTAATAATAATTATGCGAACAAAAGTTCACACTCTATCCATGCCATTTAAGATGAGCATTTTATAATCTGAACATTCTGAAGAATAAAGAAATAAGTAATAGGCTAGCAACTCAAATTATTCTAAGTTAAGACTAGATGATTTAATAATTGATAAACCTTAAGAATTCAGAATAAAAACAAGTTCAGATATTTAAATGTCATTACTATAAAATCATAAAAGAAAATTAGCATAACCTACAAACATAGAATGGATGTATAATTACAAATCTACAGCAAAATTGCATAAATAATCTAAAATGAATGAATATCTAAAGTCAGTTATAGAAGAAAATAAATTAAGACCTACGATTGAATAATTACCTTATGTAAAAATATAATAACTAACTCAAACTGACATTATAAAAGAGAAGTATGATTTTAGAAAGAAAATATTTTAAAATCCAAGAAAAATACGATCTAAATTCAATTGATTATACTTTTATCTTATTATTTATTATTTAATCTCATATATGAAATATCATTAACTAAATTATATCCTAATATGAAGCTAAATATAATTGTACAGTAATTAATTAGTTTTAAGAATGATTTTAACATTAATAACAGAAAAATAAATTTAATTAGTAAATATGAATAAATTTCGAGTTATTACCATAAGATATATGATATATATTATAAATCATACATTAAATTGAATTAAGTTAATTTCTTCAGTTAATATTGCATAATCATATTATTTTTGATCAACATTCGAAGCCACTTTATCTATTTGTTGCTTTAATGTTTAAATTTCTGAATCTATTAATTATTTTTCTTATTGATCTCCTTTTAATTCTCTAATTTAAATATTAAGATCAACTATTTTTTAAAGATCTTCTTTAAGTTGATTTTTAAGTTATACATTTTCATCAAATAAACTTTTATATGTTTTTAATTTTGTTTTAACTTAATTCCTAAATTCATCTGATTTTTATTCAATAAGACTTTTTTGTTATTATAAACTACTATATTGACTGTATAATATTTAATTATCGCATTAAATTTTCATTATTTATTCATTTTAAGCTCTATATTTCTATAATAATTGTTATACGGCATAAACAATTGAATCACAATCTTATTAAACATCAAGTAGTAATGATAATTCTTTGACCATTTATTTATATTATGCTAATTAAATTTCATCAATTTATCTAGAACTCTATCTTGGAGTGACACTATTTTTATTTTGAAATTCCATAATAGGTTGGGGAGGATCAATTCTATGATCTGGACTAGTTTGAAATTCTTCACTTTCATCGAGAATACTGTTCTGCATAACTTATTTATAATCTTCCAATATTTTTTATTGTTTTATACTTGAAGCACTACTTTTACTAAGATTACTACTAGTAGGTTATAATAATTATTATTATGGTTATTATTGTAGAAATTATTGTTATTATTACATCACAACAGGTTGAGGTTACGGTTAAGGTGGTAATTTCTTATGTTAAGGTGAACGAGAGGGTTAATTTTTGTTTGGTTAAGGACTTCCATATCGTTTTTTATTTATGATTGGTTCTGATTTGTTTACTGACATCATATGATAATTATCTATCCTATTGTTGATAATAGGTATTTATTTTGCAGAATTGCGTACTTCTGTTGTGCATCGTAATACAATATTCATTATATTACCATGTTCAAGTTCTATTTTATGAGATACTTCTCTTCCTTATACATCATTAATAAGCAGTTTTGAACTTCCTAGAAGTTTAATGTAACCTTATTCATCAGGTGTTTCAATATAAAATTAGAGCTAAGAATAATAATGATTTAAAATTTACAAACTTAGTGTTTTAGGTATCAAAAACATATTGATGAGGCTAAGAATATTTGATAATTTTTTGAGTTGATGTAAACTATTAATACAATATTTCTTTCCTTTCACCTGATTATATTTAAGAAATGTACCGCATTTAAATCCAATGTTTATTTAGCAATTGCCTAATGCTTATTTTAAACTGATTTATGAAATTGATATCTCTATCATAAAATGATAGTTAACTAATATAAATTATTTAATATATTATTTTTAACTGAATGACATTTTTTTAATACATATTAAGATCTATATAAACTGTTTTCAGATGATTAAAAAATTAATGAATAATTTTATTTTCAGCAATTAAACAAGGTTTATAATATTATATTTAATAAACTATTTAGACCAAATATATAAAATTAGAATGAAATAGCATCAATTATCATTAATCCAGCCACTAGATTATCATAACTTTTAATACTATTAATATTTACTAATTCATATATATTGATATACACAACTTATTTGATGTTAGATTATTAACTTATGATTATGATAGTATTTTATTGGATAATTGACATAATAGTTATTTCAACTCTATCCTATCTGAAAATCAAGTTAGTATTATACTAATAATATAGATATAAAATTACAGTAGGCAATCTTTTGATGGACACATTTCTGGCAACTATATTCAAAACTGTAATTCTCATAAACTTCACATATTCTGAAATAGATATACAATATTTTAGTTATTTTATTATGGCATATTATTTCATTAGATCAGTAGTTATAAATATTAGAAAAATTGTAAACAATTAGATTATTACATAATACTCCTTTGTATATATAATATCCATTTTATTTATAGCTTGTTTAAGGTGTAAAAATATTGTTAGTACTTTAATTGATGTTAATAACCATGAGATGGAAATCCACTATTTATTGGAGCTGGTATACAACATTTAGTATTGCATGGGGTTTATTAGTTATATGTTTTATTGTTCATTTTGTCTTTCTCCTCTCAATTGGAGAAACCTTAATAGATTATTACAAATAGAAGACAACTAAAACATAATTAATTGGTGGTATTTGGTTAACATTTTATTTATGTGGATTTAGTGGAATCCCTATGTGGTTTTGTTATATCATCTGTTAAAATCAGGAAGTCAAAAATTTTCAAACTGTTAATTAAGCTACTTTATTATGTATCTTAATAATATCTTATAATTTTTCACTTATAATAATTACTGCTATTTGTAAAGCCTAACTTATGTAATATCAACCATTAAATATATAGATAATTCATAAAAGAAATGGGATTTGATGTTGAAATTCAATAGGACCCAGTTATATAGGGAGAAAAATTACCTTATCAATTTCTTAAGATTTCTTTACCATAAAAATTAATTTAAATATCTTCAACTTACTTTGATTTTGTATAAGAGTCAAACAAATAAAATAAATAATAATAGCATGCATCCAATAGCAATTTCAGTGTTATAAATTAAAAGGCAAGACTCAAAGCTTTCGAATTTATGGCTAAGACTGAATAAATCAATTCTCCTGTAGAAAGAGAATCAGGACTTGTGAAAAATGAAGAAAAATGTTAGGTTTGTTTTGAAAACTAACCTTAAATTGTTATGCTTCCTTGTTAACATGGTGGAATTTGTGATGATTGTCTTTAAAAATGTTTAAGGAAATCACCTAATTGCTATTTATGTAGAAAAGTATCTTATGCATATTAACAAAGAAAATTGAAAAATTGCTTCGAGTTTCGAAAGAGACTTCTGGAAAATTTGCAATAAATGACATTGCATTATGTGATGCCTGAAATTAATACTATATTAAAATGCGCTTTATTATATAATTTAAAATTAAATGAGTTTAAAAGAAATTGTTACCATAAAAAACATACTTGAAGCACTCTAAACTGATGAAGCAGAAAAACAATTACGAAAAAAAAAATTGTTTGCTTTCATTATAGATGCATCTAAACCTAAGAGACTTCAAGGCTAAGGAGATTACATGTAAATGATCAAAATTATGGATGATTCTTATAATGGATACCTTACTCTATTTTATTTCTTTAAATCTCTTTCTGATGCTGCTCCTCTAGATACCATTGGGGATATTGTCTTCTTAAAAAGATACCAATATTAATTATTTAATGGAGAACCTCAAGGCAGAAGAAATAGTTTCAAGACTTCATATTTCTTATTATTTGATGTAAATACATTGCAATTAAAATTCAATCCAAATGATAGTTCAGAACCCTCCAATGAAGAATTAGAATATATATAAAAACTCTCAACTTATAGTTAATCATATTTATCATAAAACAGCTGTAAGTTAATTTATCTATTTAGTACTTAATTTATATTGGTATGGTTCTACTAATACTATTTTTGATGGATTATTTAAAATATAAGAATTGAAAGATGAAAATACTGTTTTATTAAAAGATTCCAAAGACAATCAATATACTTTATTATGTAAGGGATTAGTTGATTTAGAAATTTAAGAAGGAGCAGTTATTAAGATAAGAAATATATAAATGTAATTTCATATTTAAATATGATTAGTTCAAATTAAAATGAGATTTTAATCACTGATAAATCAAATATCATGATGTTATCTAATTTTTGTTATGATGTTTAACATTTTGAAGAAATTAATCAAACATTTCCTAAGGTAGATTTTTAATAGGAGAACTTTTAATAAATAACAATAGGATCATGTAAATATTAATTTATAATATTATATAGTTACATAAATAAAGAAAAAATATGAAAATTTTTAATATGTTCCTTTAATTAATCTGATTTAGAAATAAGTTAAAGAGAGTATTATTGTAATTTAAGGGTAAGTATAAAGTATTTATCCTACTTAAATTGAAGAAGGTTTTATATTTTACAATAAATTCAAATCTTTTTCATATAAAGAAGTCATAGCAAATAATTTGTAAATATAAGGATTACAAAAAACGTTACAAATATAAATTAACATAAGAGATGCTTCATTAGAAGGTACAACAAATATAATACAATTATTAATTTTTGATAATCCTTCCTTCTTTCCATTTCCAATGGTCTGGGACAATGTTGAATATATGTAAATCGAATATCAAAAAGTAATTAATATTTTATAAATGATTTAGTTACTAGAAAAGTTGATTATTGAATAAGATTAGATACATGATTTTGTTTTGGAAATCATAGAATCACCTGAGTCTACAATTTATAGAGTGATTGATACAAAAATTAGTTATTGATATATTTAATAATATTTTAGATCATATCTAATAAATTAAAATAAATCATATTAAAACATTTTTGTTCTTCTTTAAGAATCAACAAAATGGCGTTATTAGAATAATATAATAAGCTCATTTATTTATTTATTAATTAATTTAATGTAAAATCCTAGTATCCTTAATTTGCAATAAGTGAAATAGTTTTAAGTTAGAAGACCGTAAATAACAAAGGGATCTCCTCTTTTAAAAGGAAATTAAATTTAGATTGCAGGTACAATGTACTTAAAAGGGATAGCAAATATTCGTAATTAAAGCTTGTTAAGTGATCAACCCCAGCACTTAAAAATAAAACAACAAGAAGAATAAGAACTGTAATAATTAATAATTATTAGAATAGAGGTATACACAATCAATTTGAGAGAAGAATATAAAAGTAAAATTAGTATGATATAAAATAATAAGTAATAAGTAGTTTGATAATATATAGGATAATATATTCTAATTGAAATTAAGTAATGAGCATCAATTGAATTAATTGAATATGCAATTAATAAAGAAGAATAAAATTCTAAGCAATAGACTTCAATAATAATATAAAGTATTTAAATGATTGCATAAAGATTAATGAATCTTATATGGAATAAATTAATAAACTACAAGAAACAAATCAAGCTTATGAAATGCAAATTCATTAATTGGAAGAGAAAATAAAAAAGTAGAAATCAAAAAAGAAGTAATTGAAAGAATAGATAGACCAATTATAATAAGAATTAGATGAGATGTAAGAGAAGTATCAGAATAATTCAAATTAAGATATGAACTAAGAAGTATATATTAATTTTACTTAAGGATGAACAATAATAATAATAATAATAATAACAATAATAGAATCATATTCCTTTAACAAGATAGCAATTATATTAGTTAATGCAATATTTATACTAAGGAGATTAGTAATAAATAGAGAACTTTCATGAATACTAGGATTAAGAAATCGATCCAGATGCCATGACTTATGAATAACTCTTAGAATTAGAAGAATAGATAGGGTAGAATTACTGATTATATTAGGAATGTACCTAAAGGATTAACTAAATAATAGATTAAACAATTACCAAAAAGAACATTGGATTAAGATAATATACCAGAAGATAAGTAAAAATATTAATATTTATTATTAGATGTTCAGTATGCTTATTTGAATTCAAAGAAGAAGAGAAGGTGAGAGAATTGCCTTGCAAACACATATATCATTCTAGTTGTATAAAAAATTGGCTTTAGAATAATAAATAATGTCCATTATGTAAAACTGAAATCGAAATCCAAATAAATGAAAGTGATGAATAATTGAATTAATAAGATGAACAAGACTAAGAGAATGAATAATAAGATGAATTAGATTAATAGTAGTCTGAAATCGAATGATTCTTGATAATTTTAAATAATTAATATATATTTCATCAATAAACTATACTAATCTACATTCATTATGACTTTTTTTGTTATAAAATTCTTTTTATCAAATTCACAGTGATAGCTGTAATTATTAATGATAATCCTAAACATAATAGACCAAAAACTATTTATTTCTTTGAAATAGATCCTTACATTTTAGACATAAAATCATATTTTGAAATAAGGAATGATCTTTCTCTTTTGATATCATCAAGTAAACTATTTAATTTTTTCATATGATCACCCATTTAATTTAAATCTGATATTTTTGCTACTTTTTACATGTCTGCTAATTCAGATCCTGTTTTGTATGTGATATTAAATACAATATTATCATTTTCCAAATTTATGAAGCAATATCTCATATGAGAAGCTCTATGATTTGATTAATGTTAATAATTGTGTTCCCAAGATCCACTTCTTTCATATAACAGAACATATTTCTTATTTTCAGATTCTTCTAATTTTACACTATAATTTGAAGAATTAGCTCTAACTCTTAAATCGAATACATCATCTTAAGAAAAATAATCTTCAAAACATATTTATTATCCTCTTTCAACTTCATAACCGAATTACACACATTAAACTATCCCAACTAATAATAACAAGATCATAACAGGTTTACTTTTATTATTTTTGATGTTTATAAAAATAACAAATTGCTAAAACCAAAAAAATTAATATATATAAAATAGAGCTCAATCAACTTTCTTCTTTAGTTGGTATTTTTATTGTGAGATTTTTCTTCTTGTTTACCACTGCAGATGAAAAATTCTTAACTTTTCTTTTTATTGCTATACTATCTTCATCCCCTTTTGGAGAACATTATTATGGATTTGTAGGAGGCCTCACTTACCTATCAGTTTTGTCAGGAATTTCAACATATGCTTTAGGCATAGGTTTATTATTCAAATTATCAATGGTTCTAATCTTTAGTTTTCTCCATATACAGTATATCCCAATCACTACTAAAATAGATGCTGCACCTATTATAGACACAAGCAATAAAGTATCGCTTATCATTTCTTCTTTCAATTATTTAATTATTTATAATAATATATATTCAATATTAGACTTTCTTATTCTAAGATTCTTTCCTCTACAAAAGACTCCAAATTTACATCACTTGATTCCATTATAAACTCTGTTTATTTATTTTTCATCAAGATTTCATTTAAATTTCCCTTTCTTTAATCTATCAAATATATATCTTAAAATAAATTATATATTAATAAGTTTATATTTCTTTTCACTATAATTGATATCACTTCTGTCTTTTATTTTGTACTAGTTTATATTCTTTAGACTATTTTTTTCTTTATAAAAAGCTATTTGAAAATAAGAATTAATTCTTTGATTTTTATTTATTATTTGTAATATATATTTATACAAAATCAAAAATTTAAGTCTTAAAAGAGTTTAATTATAAAAAATCAATTTTATTAGCTATTGGAAATTCTTAAGAAAGTTTAATTTTAATCATAAAAATTACATAAGGATATTTTATTTAGTTAAATGAATTGAATAAAGCGATTTTTAATTCTATGAAATATTTCTTAATGTTTTTTCAGTGAATACAAATTATTTTTCATTTCAAATTTTATTCATTATAAAGAAAAATGAAATAAGTACGTATACATAAGATTTTGGATTATGTATAATAGTTGGTTTTTCAAATTTTTGTAAAATGTTGGATTGATTTAGAATTATAATTGAAGAATCATTATAAATTTCAGCTTAAATAGTTTATTAATTTTAATTTTATGAATACAGAAATAGAGTTAGACAAATAAAATAACATCAGTACTCCTTTGATAATCAAAAAGGAAAACTAATAAAAGAGTAGTCAAATTCTAAATAGAAGTTCTTCAATCTATTAAATAAATTAGGATTTACTACGTTCATAAATAAAAGAACAGATTGATAAATCTCTTTCAGAATTTGTAATATTTTTTGAAATATCAATAGTAATCAATTGAAGAATTGAAAAAAGTGATTCCCTTTATAAATTATGCAAAGGCATTGGATATGCTTTTGAAAGCAACACAAGAGGGAGAGGTTGAAGAATTTTTAGTTATTTTGGATGATTTGAAAACTAGAAAAGAGAAATTAAGATTAAACGATTAATTGGATCACAAAAAGTAAACACTTCTTCATATTGCATGTTTTAAAAATTTACCAGCAATAGTCGAGAAATTGTTAGAAACTGTTAAGCAAAATTCTACATAAATTGAATTTGAAGAATGGATAAATAGAGTTAATTAAGACTAATTTGCATCTGTTCATTTTGCAGCATATGTGGGATCTATAACAATTTTAGAGATGCTTTAAAAAGCAGGAGCTGATTTAAATATAAAAAATTCTTAAGGTTAAAATGCATTGTCTGTAGCAGCTTAAGGTGATTAAGTTTAAGCAATGGTATGGTTATATTTATAAGGTCAATCAATAGTTGAGTAAGATTTACAAGGAGGAACACCTTTGCATTGGGCAACGTATTTTGATAGTCTTTTTGCCCTTCAATTTTTGTTGTCATGGTTGTCCAAACTACCTAATTATAGTTATTATATAAATTTGAAGGATGGAGAAGGTATGACACCTTTGCATTTGGCTGCTGTAACTGGAAATTGCAGAATTGCAAAGAAATTATTATAAAAGGGAGCTAATAAAAGTATAAGAGATAATAAAAACTTAACTCCTGCAGATGCTGCTTAAGAAAATCAATAAAATGGAGTATATGAAATTTTAATGTAAAACAATTGTTTATTAGAATTTCTTAATATAAAACCAAGGTATTTTATATAATTTATAAGATAGTGTAAAACCTCCCTCTATAAGTTGGACTTAAATCATAGCTTTTTTTATTATTTACTTTTATTGTATGATAGGTACAATTTTGTTTGTTTACCCATTTTATTTCAAATATGAATGGCTTTAGATATTATCAGTTTTTTCATTTTTGTTAGGATTAATACTTTACTTTTTAACAATGTTCTTACGTCCTGGTTATATTGAGAAAAATAAAGATTAATAGTAGTTATTTAAACTATTAAATGATTATGAACCTTGGGAAGTATGTTCAGAATGTTTAATAAAGAAGCCAGAGAGATCTAGACATTGTGAATTTTGCAAAAAGTGTATTGTTGTATATGATCATCATTGTCCCTGGGTTAATAATTGTGTAATGATTATATTAATTCTAATAGATTGGAGCCAAAAATTACTTCATATACTTTTCTTTTATTTCAATAATTTGGATAAATTTAATTCATATTTTAATTCTGAATAGTTTGTTTATTGGAAAGGAATATAATAATATTAATTTAACTTATCCTTGGTTCAATAATATGATAGAGTCATAATCCAATTCTTTATTTGTAGCCAAGATAGTTGTTTAATCAATTATATTATTTTTAAGTGTTTTATTCATAATAGCAGTGTCTCATTTACTTTATGGATAAATTATCACATTGTTTACAAACAGAACTACATTTGAAAAGTATAAGTAAGCTGAAAACTTTCAATCCAATAATTAGAAATCAAAAAGTTAGAAGCAATTGTAATTATTTATATAATATATTAGATCATAATAATCAATTAAGCCAGAAGAGACTAAGATATAGTGTTCTTGTAATAATTGTATATTGATGTGTTGTGGAAATGCAAATAATCCTGCTTTTTAGTGAAATTGATAATATAAAGTGTATATAATATCTCAAATATAATTATTGTTATGAAATTCAGTATAATCCAAAAATCTTATTGTTATCAAATAATAATAATAATAATAATAATAATTAATTTTAATGTCATATATAGGAATCAATACATCAGGTGGCATCAACCCTTGCATCACATTCTATGAAAGAATGTAAGCCTGCATCAATAAAGAAAATCTACCAAATAAAATGTGTGCAATTGAAGGATTAGATTTCTTAGAATGTGTTAATAGAAGAAAATAAGTAATGCAAAAAATGAATTATTTTAGTATGCACTCAATTACAAAATTTAATAGGAATTGCACAAGAATAGAATATTAGTATTACCAACTTATGATGTCGAAAATGATAGGTTTGTATCAAAATATTAAAATGCAACAGAAGTGTTTTAATAAAAGCATTGAAAATATACAAAATACACAGATATATTAAATATTAAAATACTCATTATTATGATGATAACTTAGCAGGCCTTAAAAGAAAAGCTTCAAGGTCTTCCCAAAAAGCATTTACAACATCAATATCTTGGTACCTTTTACTTCTGTGTAATTCCAAAACCTTTATATTCCATTATTTAATCAAATCTTTCAATTTTTCTTCCTCAAACTTCATATGATAACCTCTTATACTAAAGTTTGATATAGTCGATCAAATTACTTTTTAAATAATTAATTTGGATTTTAATCTGGGAATTGTTTCAATTCATAAGTAGATCCTCTTAAAAATACAGCAACCACTCTTTTCCAATTTGTTATTGTATTAGGAGTATCCAATATTATAAATTATTATTCACTAAAAATAATATAATAATCTTTACATGTCAGTTAATCTTAATTTCACTTTAATTTAAACAGATCTAGATTCATTTGTGAATTTTAATCCATTTGGATCTAAATATTACCCTTATTCTAAAAATTGTTAAACATTCCTTAAACAAATGTTTCCTAATTCAGCTATTTATGGAACTATAATAATAGGTTTTTCTTTTGATTTAATGAATTCATTCAACACAGAATATGATAATTTAGCAATTGATAATTATTTAGCTTTATTGGCATCTTGAATTCTAGTTCCTAAAATTTACTATAATTCTTCTTCATCTCCTCCAACTCCTACATATTAACCTTAAAAGATCTAAATATGCTACGCTTATTATCAATACTTTTTAAGCTGTTTTTAAAATATCATCAAAAGTTCTATCTTAAACTCTGAATAATTTATTTCTTGTAGTAATTGGTTTTTCCAATCTCAAAATTTCATCAAACACCTTTAGATTAAAATCTTTTTCAGAAAGTGGCTAAATTCATATCCTAAATATACTTCCTTCTCAGAATCAGGCTTAACTTTTTTTTAAATAGCAAATTCAATATCCTCATCTTTTTGGTGGGATTTTTTATTTTATAAATTTGCCTTCTTATTTGCATCAATACATTCTGTATAGTCTACTTTGCCAGTAAAATAATCAATAATGTCTTAATTATCTGCCTTAAAAACCTATTCAAAATTAAGATCAAATGCTTTTTATCTATATATCTTTTATTCTAACCCCTATTAATAACAATCTAGAAAACACCACAATGCTCCTAGTGTATATTCTTATCCAGATTTTGACTTCCATGCTGTTTCCTTTTAATAATCATAACTTTATTACAGTAGAACATTTAAATTCAATATTATTTTCAAAAATTAGTCTATGGTCTGTATTTTTGCTTTTCAATTTAATTTATTTATGATGAATAACATGATCTTTTAATAATTCTAAAGGATCATTTCTTCCTCTTTTAAACATTAGATTATTATTATTATTATTATTATTATTATTATTATTATTATTATTATTATTATTATTATTTTTATTATTATTATTATTATTATTGTTATTATTATTATAAATTATTAATCAATTGATCATAAACAAATGAATTATCTTTAGTCTATCATATAATTGATATATACTATTTTCTTATGAGATAGTATAATAATTTGATTGAAAATTTAATAATTATATTATTTCTAATTTTGTACAAAATTTAAACATTTAGTTATAAATAAATGAACAAAAATTAATGTTATTTGCCTAATCAAAAATAGTTTTATGCTCCAATCGTTTTGACAATAAATATGATGTATCTTTCAGGGATGATCTCATTTGCTTTAAACTCTGAATTATAAAATGGAATTTTATACTTTGGTTGTTTTGTTGGATCAAGATTATACAAGTAAAAAATATATTTATAATCAGATACATTTAGTAATTTTCAAATCGTGTAATATTTTACTTTTCAGATTTGTTATTTTTGGTTTCATTTTTTCTGATTTTTCTGACCTATTTTCTTACATTGCATACAAAACACCTATTTTTATATTATTCTTTCACAGGTATTTTTATTATCGGAATTGCTGGAGGTATCAATTTAATATAAGTGTTGATGTATTTGAGATTGAAATATGCTGATGAAGCTATCTCCTTTTTTTCATTATTCATACCATTATAATTTGCTATAGGGAGTGTTATAGGGAGTATAATTTATGATTTTCCTTTTCCTCATTTAAAACAAGTAATGTTAATGACATTCCCTATTATGACTGCTGTTAGAGTATTATTGATATCAATAATACCATTTTCAGGTTTATCATAAAATGTGAAATAAATGGAGGAAACATCTTAAAATAATTAAACAGCAGATTTATAATTAAATTAAACAGAAGAATAAGTGGGAAGTGAGAAATTTCTTTAAGCCTTTTTAAAAAACTTCAAATATTTAATTTTAGTAATAATATTTTAGACTTCCTCAATGCCATTTTAATATCATCCATTACAATTATTTCTTGTTTTATTTAATATGATATTTTATCAATATATAGATAAGAATAAAATGATTGTATTAGGTCAAATTAGTGTTTGTTTTGGATACTGTATGAATATGACTATTTTTTCAGCATCAGGATATTATTTGGGGTTAGGTAGTCTTTTTTATCCAATAATTTGTAAAATATCAAGTTCTGAATTAATAATGATTTCTGAAATTAGTTGGATAATAAGATTATCAACAATGTGTTTTATAGCAGTAATGTAAAAGATAAGTTACAATTTATTTTTATTGGATAGTGAAGTCTATAATAATGTATTCTTTATTCTCAATTTTGTAAGTTTGATCTTGTTAATTTCATTGCTATTTTTTTCGGTAAAATATTATAATAATTTATTAAAGAAAAAAAATGAAAAAAATAAGGTTGAGTTTGAAATGATATTGGGAGTACAAACAAGAGGAGAACTTAATTGATAGGTGATCCTATAATATAATATGATATTTGATTATTAATAATTAATGTATAAAATATATTTCACAAAAAGAAGAAAGGTTTTTTAGTATTCTGAGACAACAACTGAATCTTAATTAAATCAATTGCTGTAAATAATAATTTTCAATGGTCAGTCAACCAATTATGATGTTTCTAAAATTATAGAGGAAACAGAAGAGAATGAAGGAATTTCAATTCCAAAGGGTAACAGATTTTAAAATTGGAATGATATATTTAGTGATTTTTTATCTGAAAGTAAATAGACTTAATTAAAAAGAAATACAGAAACTCCAATAGATAGTGCTTATTTATATGAAGTTCCATTATAGTTTGATAGTGCTCTGTCAATAAGTCCTTCTATAAGAAGTATTTCACTAAATATATCATGAGGGAAATTTTTGCTCAAGAATTTGTAATTAGAAAAATTAAACTCAAAAACTTGATAAATTAATTCCATCAGTTATCAAGAAGAGAAAAAGACTAAAAAATTAATGTGTATAAAAAGATAGTAATTTTTATTAGAACATATCACAGATTAGCAGTAATAGATGAAGGGAATCATGAAATTGCCTTTTTATATTTATTGGATGAAAAGAATAAAGTGAAGCTTAAAAATTATAGGCATTAGACATATTTTATTTATTAGAGATCTAATAGAAGAAAAGATTGAAAATAGAGAAAAGGAAGATTTTGTTTAAATGAAGCTGAGAATTAAAAAATGTTGGAATGATCAAATAAATGTATGATATAAGTGATGAGTATATACAAGATTATTAAAGAAATTACATCAAAAACAATGAGTTACTAACCAAAAATTTCTTTTTGAAGGGAATTCAATAAATAAAAAAGTAAATTTATGAATTATTAATTTAAAAAAAACATTATGTCAAAATCTATTAATTCTGATACGCCATAGAAATTTTAAAGTAGTGAATAACATAAAATAAATATTCAAAATATTCATTTCTTTCATATAAAAAGGTATTAAAGGCAATTAAGTTGTTGAGAATTAGTTGATAAATGATGATTTAGAATAAATAAAATATATTATAAATTATCCAGTATATAATCCATATCAAGACTAAAATTGTTAAGAATAAATCCAATAAGATATTCTTGATGCTGCTGAATTATCATCTGATAAACATAATAAAATTCCATAAAGAAAACCAACTTAATCAATTAAATATTCTAAACTTTAAAAATAAGATTATATGTATCCTTAGATTTTCAGGCTGATTATGAATCATTAAAATCTATGTATGAATTCAATCTATATTAGTAAAGTATGAAATTGTAAGAAAAGTTAATTGAAAAACAATACACATATGGATTTAGTAAAACATTTAAGGCTATTTAAAAAGTTAACTATTAAAAAATATTTCAGAGATTTTATAATAATGATATTAATGTAAAAAAAATATATAAAAACTTGAAGGAATATCTCCTATCTGAAAATATGATATTAAAATTTGTATTTTGCAAAATATTATTCAATCTTTAATTATTAAAAATTCAGGTAAGAATTGTAATTCTTGAGCACATCCATGACAGAATAATCTATTCTAATCTATTATTAAAAATTTTTAGCGTTTATTTTATGTAACAATTTATTTAGTTTTCTCTAAAGAATATTATATAAAAGGCAATGCAGAACTATTTTTCAAACATTTACATATTGCTTATGCTTGTATTGCACATAATTACCATTCGATATTTTCATAATTTTTAATAGATCCTATGATCCATTAAGTTAAACTTTCAGATTTTTCTGATTGTTATAATTAGATATACTTTTAATATGCTATGCTCATACTTAATGAGCATTTTTTACAATTTGATTGAAATTTATAGATATTTTATTATTATTATTTAAAAGCTGAGCAAGGAAGGCACTCTTTGCAAGATGGACATTTCAATTTAAAACATATTGAACGTATTCTAAATTCTTTAAAGCCTTCCCCTTTGATAATTAAAAATAATTTTTTATCTCCAAAGTGTTAAAATTATTATCTATTCTGTGTTATTTCTTGGGGTAATATATCTGTTGTAATAATTGACTCAGTAATTTATTATTATGAGTATTCTATCCTATCTTTTTAATTATCTTGTTTCTTTACTAGATAATGATTTTAAGGTTAAGTATTCTATACTATCATTTTTTATAATTCAACTTTGAATTCTTGTTCTTTTTTATTATCAATTGTAAGTAATCCATAGATTTCCTGTTCTTAATCTAATACTAAACCTTTTTTTTTAAATGTGACTGGTTCTTTTATTTATTCCATTTGATTATGTGCATTCATAGCTAACTATAATTGAAGCAACTTAATACTTTTGTTTCTTCCCATTCAAGAATTTCTGGAACACGACTATTCATATTAAGAGAATATAAAGAATCTTTGTTAAATAAAATAAAAAATATATAATAGAAAATAGTTCTTAATAAATGATAAATTTAAAATACAATTATTGAAATCATCATAATTATATTATAAGATTTAATCATAATTAAATAAAATAGTAACATAGATAAACTATCAAGAATATCAATCAATTGATATTATAACAAATATAAGTTTATTACTTTTTAATTATAATAACTCACTCATTTAAATTCTTACTTAAGTTAATGATTATTAATGATTGAAATAAGAAAAATTAATCATAATAAAAGATCATGAAATATATCAGATGATTTTATTAGTTTTATCTAAAAATTTATTTTAATAGTATTGTGANGATATTAAAATTTGTATTTTGCAAAATATTATTCAATCTTTAATTATTAAAAATTCAGGTAAGAATTGTAATTCTTGAGCACATCCATGACAGAATAATCTATTCTAATCTATTATTAAAAATTTTTAGCGTTTATTTTATGTAACAATTTATTTAGTTTTCTCTAAAGAATATTATATAAAAGGCAATGCAGAACTATTTTTCAAACATTTACATATTGCTTATGCTTGTATTGCACATAATTACCATTCGATATTTTCATAATTTTTAATAGATCCTATGATCCATTAAGTTAAACTTTCAGATTTTTCTGATTGTTATAATTAGATATACTTTTAATATGCTATGCTCATACTTAATGAGCATTTTTTACAATTTGATTGAAATTTATAGATATTTTATTATTATTATTTAAAAGCTGAGCAAGGAAGGCACTCTTTGCAAGATGGACATTTCAATTTAAAACATATTGAACGTATTCTAAATTCTTTAAAGCCTTCCCCTTTGATAATTAAAAATAATTTTTTATCTCCAAAGTGTTAAAATTATTATCTATTCTGTGTTATTTCTTGGGGTAATATATCTGTTGTAATAATTGACTCAGTAATTTATTATTATGAGTATTCTATCCTATCTTTTTAATTATCTTGTTTCTTTACTAGATAATGATTTTAAGGTTAAGTATTCTATACTATCATTTTTTATAATTCAACTTTGAATTCTTGTTCTTTTTTATTATCAATTGTAAGTAATCCATAGATTTCCTGTTCTTAATCTAATACTAAACCTTTTTTTTTAAATGTGACTGGTTCTTTTATTTATTCCATTTGATTATGTGCATTCATAGCTAACTATAATTGAAGCAACTTAATACTTTTGTTTCTTCCCATTCAAGAATTTCTGGAACACGACTATTCATATTAAGAGAATATAAAGAATCTTTGTTAAATAAAATAAAAAATATATAATAGAAAATAGTTCTTAATAAATGATAAATTTAAAATACAATTATTGAAATCATCATAATTATATTATAAGATTTAATCATAATTAAATAAAATAGTAACATAGATAAACTATCAAGAATATCAATCAATTGATATTATAACAAATATAAGTTTATTACTTTTTAATTATAATAACTCACTCATTTAAATTCTTACTTAAGTTAATGATTATTAATGATTGAAATAAGAAAAATTAATCATAATAAAAGATCATGAAATATATCAGATGATTTTATTAGTTTTATCTAAAAATTTATTTTAATAGTATTGTGAGTCTACTCATAAATTATTCTACATACAATTAATTAATTATTGTTCATAATTGATACATATTTGATTATGATTTTTGTTATGTAAAAAGTTAATGATTTGATCTATTCTTTGTAAACCTAAATGCAAGGATGTATAATTAATATTAGATAGCTAGTTTTTTTATCTAATGTAAATTTATTAAAGAATTATTAGAAATTTTTCTAAGAAAATGGAATAAGAATAATAACAGATACAAAAATATTTAGAAGATTCATACTTAACTTAATATCCTAGTACAATTCTTGATGTTAAGAATGTACTCATAAATGATGCTAAACAATAAAATGTTAATGTTATATAATTGCTTTTGAAGGAAAATATTTTTCATCCTTAAGGAGGGGGTTAACCAGATGATGGAGGTTAGATTAAGATAAATGATAAGTATAGAATTTTTTATATTGAGTTTAATAAATGTAATGTCTCTATAAAATGACAAGACTAAATAACAAGTTCTATTGAATTTACAACATTAACAATAATTGTTTGATCTTCTTATGGAAGCTAAATAATAAAATTAATTGGTTATTTAGTTAGTGAATGAAGAACAAAGAAGAAATTATGCAAGACTTCATTCAGCTGGTCACTTTATAGATATGGTTGTAAAGAAACTTGGTTTAAAGTGGGCTGGTGCCAAAGGGTATCATTTTCCAGATGGATCATATGTTGAATATTAAGGAGTATTAGAAGGAAAACCAGAAGATATATAATTATCTTTATAATAAACTTGTGATCAATTATTAAATGAGACTGAAGATAATGATAAAAAATAAGTAGAATACTTGAATGAAGAACAATTAAGTCAAAGAATGGGAGAAGTACCACATTATTTTAAGGGTGCATAAAATGTAAGATATGTGAAGTTATGTAAATACGATGATGGATGTCCATGTGGAGGTACTCATGTGAATCATGTAAAGGAATTAATTAAAGTTAATATTGTAAAAGTATAGAAGAAAGGTAAATTTATAAGAGTGTCATATAAAGTGTAATGATTATTATTAATAAGAGAGAATGATTTATTTATAATCATTTAATTATATATTTATCTATTTAAAATAATGTTTAAGTTCTAGAAGTGTATTCTAATTTAAAGAATAAATAATTATTGTTATTGATGTTAATATGAAATAATTAAATGTATTATATTATTATTATAAAACGAATTTCCTTATGATTCTAATACTCTTAGGTTTAATAACATTGATTTAAGCATCATCAGAAAACAATTAAAAACCAGTTAATTTGAGTAAATTTGCAAAAATATTTGAACAATATGTATGATAAAAATATTATATTGAGAATCAATCGAATTAATTTAGTAAAACATTATTTACTTAATTGAAATCAAAAGTAATTAATGGAGCAACAGTTTAAGATATTGATGACCATTTTGCAGAATTGGTTGGCCATATAGAAAAGGATGAATTCTCATAGCAATAATTATATTAAGTTGAACAAGCTAGATTAGAAGGAACAATTTTATAAATAGAAGATGAATTGAAGTAATTAGAAGAATAAAATGCATATCTAATTTAAAAATAAGAGACATTAAATGAAGAAGCTTAATAAATTGATGTTTTATTTAGTGCTAATCATGAAGCATATATATAAAAAATTGGAGAACAATATACTTTAATTGAAGCAATTGATGAGTTAATATCATAAGTTTAAGAAAAATAGGCTATTAAAGATGATAGTGATATTATGGAGAAATTGAAATAAATTAGTGAAGATTAACATATTAGTATATTAGCTTAAGTGACTGCTCATTTAGATATGGAATAAGCAGATAAGATCTTAGTATTATTTAAGGATTTGAAAGATGTTTTAAAAGAAGGATTAGAAATTGATGAATAAAATAATGAATTAAATGTGAAGTTACATACAGAAATTAGATAATCCATAGGCAGGTATGATTTGTAAATCAATTATTTAAGTATGATACCTGAAACACTTATTTAACAAGAAGAGATTATCAAATCTATAAATGAATAACAAAATACTTTAACAATGACCAAAATAGCATTAGAAAAGCTTAAATCTGATATGGATGCAATAAATTAAGATAGGTATTAAAATTATTAATTTCAATAGAAACTTTGCATTGCTTTAAATTTAATAAGCAAAATCAATTTTTAAAGAAAATATTCAAGACTTATCTGATTCTAAATGATCATTATATATTTTGAAAACCTAATGCATTTGCAATAATATCAATCATTTACAAAATTATAAATCTACTTAATACAAAAT